TCCTAGAGATGCTAATGAGGATGGGATAGTAGAGTAGGGGGGTAAGAGTGAAGGTAGAGGTAGAGGGTAGAGGGTAAGAGTGAGAGAGTGATAGAGGAGAGAAGAGGAAGAAGGCCCGAGCTGAATAGGAGATTGAGATTCAAATTGGGGACAAAGGATCCGGGTCCGAGCGGTTGAGCGGTTCCCCCACTTTACCCCGCGGGTGGGGGTGGTAAGGTTCGACCATTGGGTGGGTACTGGGTGAGGGGGAGGAGAGTGAGGGAGGAACAGTAGAATGAGAGGACGAGGGTGGAGTGAAGCAGGGATAGTCAACCAGTACATGGATATCGGTCAAGACACAGAGTAGTCAAGGGTCACTACATACCTATGTGAGAAGTGGAGTGGCGGGAGTGGGTGTTGGGGGTACGTTATGGTAAAGAGAGGCGAGTAGGTGCACCATGCACCATCGTAATTATGCACCATGGTGATATGCATACTTCCCTCATACCCAATACAACCAAATTCAAAAACCCCAAAATCATATCTAAACTTCCAAAAAAAAAACCTGATACAACAACTCCCAACCACCACCACCACCACCACCAGTACCATGTAACCACCCATTTCACACCCTCAACTCTTCCCAATCCACCCGGTTCACATCTTCATCCACCAAACCGAGATTCGACAACTCCAACCCTTCTGAATCAGGTAAGAAAGAACCTGCCTCTTTCTCTCCTTGTTCTTCTCCCGCTCCCTCGATGAGATCTCGATTCTGCTCCATCTCCATCTCCATCTCTTCCCTGATTTCAGCCATCTCCAACTCGTGCTCATCTGAAGGGTCGTAGTGAAAGTCCTGCGTGTCAGATTGGTATAACCTGGCATACTGATGACACTTGTACATCTCGTTCAGAGCCATCTCAAGGACGTAAATGAGTGACTGGGGGATGAGATAAAGGTCAGGGATTACTCATTTGCGTTAATGAGACAGAGTGTATTGAAATGATGAATAGGTAGAGGAGAGGGGAACGACACCCGACCAGCCTGAAAGGGGGGAGATGAGGTGTAGATGTGATCGACGAGTATGAGGGATCTTCGGACAGTGTGGATTTGCACGACGGGCGGGCTGAATGGGAGGGAGCAGGGACCGCAGGGGAGGGTAGCAGGTGGGGAAGACTAAGACATACCATATCCACATCTTCGTCCGCTGCTAATCGCTACACATCAGCCATGTTGATTCATGTATCACTCATTTGATATTTCCCCAGAATGAAAGAGTGAAGAGATATCTCAAGATAACCGAAGTTGGTAACAGACATTCCCAGGTCGATGAAGATAGAGAGACATCATTTCGATATGGGACGAAGGAGGTGCTCTTAGAAGAGAAAGACGGGGAGTATCTTTGAAAACAATGCGGATCAAGAGACATTCAGAGATGCGCAGAGAAATGTGAAGTGTGTGCGAAGTAAGATAATCCACAATCACTCACAGCATATTCCAAGAAGAGTCGCATCATATAAGCTTCCAGATCTTGTGATCGGAACATACGTTGAACGAAACATTGCTTCTTATCAGCTTATCCCTCTTTATTCAAAACCTCATAACACCATTCATTGCCTTTATGAGGGCCAAGTCGACTCGAGTATGAGCGTAGGACTGGTAAATCACTTCATGTATATGATAACAAGTTTTGTGTGCTGGAGGTGTACGAGGGATGGAGAATCCAAAAAACCAAGTTTACTCACTCCATTCCGAGCTAAAGCTTTTGCAGTCTCGTCAAATGCCAGTTCTGGATGTTGGGGAGAACCACGAAAACTAATTGTCAATGAGGGGTACCATACTGATTGATGGAGGTAGGACGAGAACGGGATTCGGGCTGTCGAGAGTATGAGACATCAAAGAGGGACGATGGATATGGAAAAAGTAGAAGGGGCAAAGTAGAAGTGGAAAAAGAAGAATGAAATACTAACAAAGACATGATATCCATCAAATCGGAAAAATCTAATTTTGACGGAATGTACATGAACCAACTGACTTTCAGCAAGCTTTTGTATATGCGTAAAGAAAAAGAACAAACGGTATTAAATGAGGTTGAAACCATTCTGTAAAAATACCAGTCTTGATGACTACCGAATTTGTGCTCATCAACCTCAAAGTTCAGCTTGACAACGACAATAGTTCGATATTGTAAGGTTAAGGTTGGAGGTAGGGTTTATGCGGTGGGACTGGACGAACCGTCTGAAACGTCCACTGACATTAGCTCTATCCCTCCTGACCTCACGACTCAATGAAATCGACATAACGAACAACTTTGAGAATAAGGAAGGAATAAAGATATGTTGTGGTCGAGAACATGGGAAGAACAACTCACCTCCATCCATTCCCATCTATGTCTAACAAAAATTTATGATCATTCAATTCCTCTGGACTTTGGTATCCCGCCCAATCGATTTCTCTCCTATAACGTCAGCTCGACTACAGACAGGGGAAGGAGGAGCTGACTTCATATCTTCGCAAGTACCGTCTTCTTCTGAGCATTGGATAGGTTCACCGGCTAATTTCATATCAAAGAAGAAATCTGTGCTAGTGTTGGTAAGGGATGTTTCGAATTTAGATCCCAACTCCAAACCCGTACCTTGTTCACGATGATGATGGTGGTGTTGGTGATGTTCGTCTAGACCTAAATCAGGGACGAGGTAAGTGATAGGAGATAGGGATTGGTTATTAGCGAAATGGTGTAGACGTATACGATGAGAGTTTCTCCAAGGGACATCGGTGGTCATCATTGATATTCCCGTCGGGCTGCCTCTCTGCGGGTCAATCTTTGTAGCAGACGCAGAACATGCGACGGTGGAGGCGAGTCACCGTGACAGATGCAGAAGACGCGATGATAGACGACGAGTAGTGATAGCAGATGCAGAAGCTGCGATGTTGAAAGGCAAGTCAAAGACTACGTGCCAGAAACCTACTCCAATATGACAAAAGGATGAGACATAACAAGCAAGAGGAATGACATACCCAAGCGAGCTTTGCACTTTTCTTATCTTCCCACTTCGGATCCGGCCCTTTATCACTGTGGAACTGATCCAGTGGTGTGATCAAGATATCAGAGCTGTAAATCAGCTCTGTAGCAAAGCCTATTCCCCTCTGTCCCACCCCTATGTCTGAAGAGAGTGACAAGACAAATCAGCGTGTACTTGCAGTCCTTGCAGCTTCAGAAGGAAATTGGGGAGGAAAAACTAGAAGGAAAGGAAATCTCACTTGATCGATGTCTTTGCCAGGCTGAAAAGAGGTAAGAGCTGGGTATGAGGTCGAGGATGTGAATCCCTATCGTGGGTTTCGATTGTAAGTCCGTGAAGAGGTATGAGATAGGGGTCTGATATGTCAGTGGATGTTTTCGGGGTGTGTATCGCAGCGAAACGGGTCGGGGAAGATTTTGACATGACCAGGGATGTGAACATGTGGAGCTAGTTGATAGACGCAGTAAAGATGAGGCAAATGAGGTGAACTCGGTAATGGAGCAACGTGACGAGTGAGTACACGAGTTAGGATATTAAAAACGAGCTGAACTTGTTTGAAGAGCATCGAGGCGGATGAATAAATGGTATTAAAGAAGCGAAACAAGGTGAACTGACTTTGACAAAAATCACCAGCTTCTAGACTATCATAAATCAACGAACGACCTTCTTGAAAAGTCATATTACGTCGAAAGTTACTGTCGGGGTCGCAACTCCTCGAAAGGCGGACTTTGGCATCGTCGGTTTCGTGCAAGTGGGTTGTGACTGGGGTCAGTGGGCGTTCGTGTGTTTGACCAAGCACCTTTCCTCAGAAGCTAACTACTGGTGGTAACAATCCGAGCTTCAAGAGATAAGATGGGTTCGGTGAGGAATAGTGAGTGGACCGACGTGGCTCAACGGAGACAAGAGTATCGTTATAGGAAAAAGGGAGACAAGTTGGCAGTACCTCAATGGGGCAAGAACAAAAGAGAGGAACGTATAGAAAGGTGATGTAAGAGACGGGTGGAACAGCTAAGGACATTGAACTCACGTTCTCCCCGTAATCCCAGATCAACTAAAGAACCTCTCCTAGCCCAAGAAAGATATATTTGCGGTTGATCGAATATACTGAAAGTGGCTCGTAGATCAGGTAGATATCTGGAGAAGGAGGAAATCAATCTGTCACATGAGGTGAAGCCCAATTTTAGCTCAGAGAGAAGTCTACTGACGAAGCGGCATCATTGGCTCTCGGTAAAGTACCTCCCCATTCTAATCCACCGGGATCTTTTATCTGAACTCAGTAATCAATCCACTGAAGATATGCGTGTGTGAGTGGGTGTTTCGTATGTATATATAGAGGGAAACAGTATGAGAATGAGAGAGACACACAAGGAGACGGGGAGGAGCGGAGGAGCGGAGGAGCGGAGAGAGGGAGACATAGAAAAGAAAAATCATAACCCACCTCGATCCCCACACGTCCATCTTCAATGACCAAAGTAAAAGTTTCTTTCATTTCTTCGACCAATTCCATTCTCCTCTTAAATTCTTTTTTAGGTAAAGCGAAAAAAGGTGCTAAATCTAAATTAATCCTATCGTATTCATCGGGTAAAACCAATTCATTCAACATTGAAAATTCCCACCATAAATCATAACCTTTAGGTGGTAAACGACCATATCTCCTTGTATATTCTCTAACTGATTCACCTAATGTTCTTGATTGACGTGAAAGTAATTCTTCCCATCTTTTTTCCCCCAGAGTCAAAAGGAGAGGTATAGGATGAGAAGATTTTGTTGAGATTAATAAATGTCCTGTTGAGGAATATAAATGATGTGAATGTGAATGTGAATGTGATTTATGATTTTGTTTTTCATACTCTACATAATCTTCTTTTCCATCTTTATCTCTGTCGGATCTGAGATGATTAGGAGATGGATGAGATAGAGGTGGATATTGAGAATCGTTTGTATAAAAAGGATGATAAGAATATTTGATATTCAATAATTTTAATCTTTGTAAATCTCTATGATAAGCTTCGACAGGTGAAACGAATTGACATATTCCTTCTTTTTCTTGTGGATAAAACCATCTTGCCCATTTTAAATGACCAACTCTTAAACCTCCTTCTATTTTTGGATTATATCGAAAGAGAAAAATCACAATGAGGAGAAAAGAGAGTAAAAGGAGAGTTCTTCGAGTTGTTCGGAACATTTTAGGTGGGGACCATTTCGATTTACGACGACCTGGATGACCGAGAGAAAAGCGAGGAGGAGGAGGAGGTCGAAGATCTAATGGAGATGGTAGTGGGGAATGACGTGGTGAATGAGGTGATTCAGGATAAGAAGGATGATGATGATGATGATTATGTGGAGAGATGGATAGATAATCTATAGAAGTTGAAGAAGGGTTATGAACAGGTGTTATGGGTGGTGTACCGAGATTAGGATAAGTACGACGGGTTGTAGGTGTAGAAGGGACTGTGTTCGATGACATGGTGAGCTGGGTTGGATTACACAATTATGGTCGCTTTAAAGGGAATATACAGTTGTCAAGGAAGGACTAGGTTACTCTTACATGAAGAGTGGGTTCTTGATCTGGGGAAGAGATAGAGAAAGAGAGGGGGAAAGATAGACGTCTCTGTTGTTACTTATGGAATGTGATGTAATTTATCACGTGACGTCGATCACCCACACTTCTGGTACTGCACCCGAACAACATTTACTACATCTAGATGCATACATAACATCAATCCAGTGACTCTCCATATGACCCAGGTACGTTGCCCCGTCGACTGGGTTCAACGTGAGAATAAGCATGAGAGTCGTGGGGTGTGAAATCGTCCAGTGTCAATGGACGGAGATGAAAGCCCTGCGTATCAACGGCCGAGATACCCGGGACAACGAGGATACAAGTGACACGCTCCCAGACTAGAGCAAGGTCGAAAGGGAGAGAAAAGGACGGGAAGTAGCAGAACACAGCCCACCTCATCACGAGCAGCTTGCAAACCTTCCTTCCCTCTACTCCCTTTATCCCTCATTACCTCTCTCACAGGAACCATAGCGGCATTCCTACATGTCTCTCTCAGATCACTTCCTGATAAACCATCGGTCCTTCGGGCAAGGGCTTGTATTGAGAAGTCTGATGAAAGTTTTGTGTGTGCCAACATCTACAATCAGCCTTTGGTGTTCTTCATACAAAGCAGGGTCATAGACATCTCCGTCGAGTCGCAAAGGATGGCATCTCTCTCGTACACCGACAAGAGGTATTCTCTCTGTGAAACAGATGAGACGAAATACATCTAGCTGGAGGGGCGAAAAAAACATACCAAAGTAAGGATGTTTACTCTCTGGTCGAAATTTGGTAATCTGATAGGAAACCGTTTTGGCATTCTTCTCAGAATAGCAGGATCGATGCTGACCATCAGATTAAGAAGTTGACGAGGTAGAGCAACTCACTCATTTGGTCTATTTGTGGCTCCTAGGACTAAAATACGAGTGTCTGCACCGGTGGTGAGACCATCCCACAAACTGTAATTCAGCTGATTTGTGGCAAAGCGGTAGGGGAATGGGGGAAAGAGGAGAAGAAACACACGTCATGAACTCTGCTTTCATCATAGCTGTGACTTCGTGATCTCCGGCAGAACGTTCTCGGAATAAAGAGTCGATCTCGTCTATGAAGATCTGGAGGTCAGCGTTGGTCCGAAGGGGGTGTCCAACAGAAGCTCTGACAATAGACGACGTCTTAGATAGGTCCTGGACAGGGCATAATCGAAGTGAGCGACTCACGATACTGGGTTGAACTTTCCTGGCTAAAGAGAATAAACCAGCTACCAATTTATTTGATTCTCCAAACCATTTGTTCGTTCTTCATGTCAGCCAAGCACACTCCTCAACACTTTGGATTATGATGCCTTGCCCAAGTCAGAAGGAGAGTACAGAGCGATTTGACCTAAGTATTCTAAAGTGAGTAGACGATGAGAAACAGACAATCCAAGACTGATGAGAAAGAATAGAAGGATAGTAGAGTATGACTCACAAACTCGATATAGGTAGATTTATAAAAGTAGCTCCACTTTCCTTCGCTAAAGCTTTCGCCAACATTGTCTTCCCACAACCAGGATGACCATATAACAAGACTCCTTTAGGTGCACTCAACAATCTATTCTTACTCTCAAACAACTCTGGAAACGTTAATGGATAAATAACAGTTTCTCTCAAACTTGAAATAATCTCATCTAATCCACCTATAGATTCGAAAGAAACGTCTATAGAAGAAGGTGGAATGATTTCACCAGCTATGGTAGATTCGTATTCGTCCAAATCTAGGGAATCCAATTGAGATTGAGATAAACCTGTTTGAGATAAAACAGATTTTGATTTTTTACGAGATTTTGTTGTGGATGGGGAAGGATCGATGGATGAGACTATATATCGTAATGCGTAGAATAGAGCTACTTGAGATGCTGCGAAGAATGCGACTGAATGGTGAGCTTTGTGTGTCTCGATAGGATGGGATAGATTGAAGGTGTGTCGTGATGAGGACTTACCATCCATTACTACCTTTTGGATATCTCTAGCCATGTTGGTGTGGAATGTGTGTGTGTATATAGGGGGGTGTTGTATGGCGTGAATGGTGAGGATATAGGAGAGTGAACAGGTGGCAACATTCTTCTTCTCCTATCGCATTACTTTCCCACGGTGCACACCGAGATTTGCTTTGGATTACGTAACAGCTCGATGTTTGTCGCGACTGCTTTTTCCTACTTCCCTTACTCAGCCCCCATACATATACCCATACAACATATAACTTTGTGCCATACAAAGTCTACTAGTCTACTGGTATACACAGCTACGAACACTCCCATCGAATATCGAAAAAACAATACCACCATGTCACAACCACTCAACTCTCTAATGTCAAACCTCTCCCTTCACCCTCCTTCTCCAACTTCCAAACCCCCGACATCCTCTTCAATATCCGTTTCATCCAACTCTAACCGTCTACCACCAGTGATGAAAAAATATATGAACCCTTCACTCGTTAGACCACCCAATACCGGTCTGTCCACATTGAACACAACATACAATTCCTCAGCTCGAGAACCTCTTTTAAAATTAGCAGGTATCAACGTGATTCCGACTTCATCACAAAGACAATCAACTTCTAAACATACGAATGGATCTCCTAAAGTTTTACATACAGCTCATGGATTACATGGACCTGCACATTCTACTTCTACTCGTATGACCGGTATATCAGGTATATCAACTACTACCATGACGAATATCAACGTACAAACACTCACAGGTAGTGCGGGGTTGAAGAACGGAGGAATTGGGAGATATGATGGTGGTTTGGAAATTGATGAAGTTGATAAAGAAGAAGTGACTGGCGAATCCGCAAAGATTTTAGAAATGGATAGTGGTTCTCAAGGGTAAGTCAATACCCTTTCAAGTAATCCTATTTCGACATGGATTCGTTTTAATAGAATGAGGATTGATGATTTCAGTGGAAGTATACCTTTAACATTACCCGCTTTCGCAATCGGACGTCCATTAGGTAAAGGGAAATTCGGTAGAGTTTATTTAGCTAGAACAAGAGCAGCACCACATTTCATAGTAGCTTTGAAATGTCTACATAAAAGTGAGATTGTTCAAGGTAAAGTTGAGAAACAAGTCAGGAGGGAAATTGAGATTCAACAGAATTTAAGGTAAGTCTTTCAGCTGCAAGAGGACCTTCGTCAGATACCCCAGCTGAGGTCAACAGACATCCTAATATTTTAAGATTATATGGTTATTTTCATGATTCGAAAAGAATCTTTTTGGTTTTGGAATTTGCTGCTAAAGGGGAGTTGTATAAACAATTGGCTAAATATGGGAAATTTGATGAGAAACGTAGTTCCCGAGTGAGTGGTTTCGTCTACTCCGTCTTCGACCATCTCAACATGATGACATTATCTCCTCATGTTTACCTAGTTGTGTTGGGTACATTCCTTTTACACACCTTCTCTTCTTTACTCTTCGAGTCATTTTCAATACTCCTTTCTCTCTCTTCCCTCGTATCCAAATCTCACGCACGCACATGTTGTGCATGACCCCAGAAGGCGTATCGGTGTTTGTGATATACACGGGAGTGGAGCGACGTATGTGATGAATGTAACTGATAAAAAGTATATTGCACAAATGGCGGACGCATTGTCATACCTACATAAAAAACACGTCATTCATAGAGATATTAAACCTGAAAATTTACTTATCGGATTGCGAGGTGAACTCAAGATAGGTGATTTCGGTTGGAGTGTGGTGGGTTGTTTTTTTTTTCCTTTTCGTCTCTTGCATCTCTTCCCGCATGTCTCAATCTACCATTGTTGTGCCTTTGCTTTCCAACATGAGGAGCAAAATTTAATGTTCAACTCATTTCTATACGCGATTTAGAATATGACAAAAAAGGATCCATGAACTGACAAACAGCACGCACCTAGCGATCGTCGTCAAACTTTATGTGGGACGTTAGATTATTTACCTCCAGAGATGGTAGAGGGGAAAGAACATAATGCCAAGGTTGATTTATGGGCTTTAGGTGTTTTATGTTATGAGTTTTTGGTGGGGAGTCCTCCTTTTGAAGTGAGTAATCTCTCTTCTTTGTCGTATGATTTGCCATTTTCTCTTCACTTCTCTTCACCCTATCTCGCCCTGTCTCCACTTTGGTCTTCTTCTGCATTCTCCGCTTCTACCGCCCCTGCTTGGTCCTCTCCTTGTCCTGTCTCGTCTTCTCCTTCTATTTTTCTTCTCTCATCACTGCCAACCCCTCCCCTTCCCCCCTCTTCGTCTTCTCTCATTGTCCTTCACACTTTCATCGTCAATATCCCCTTTATTCTTACACTCTGTATCTTTATCGGCGATGCAGCATACAAGACTGACATCCAGGATTTAGCTGGTAACACGGGTACGTTTCCGATCAAATTGTTAAAACACCCACTCATGACCAGCTACATATAAAAGAATCAGAAATGTGGATTTACACATCCCAGAATTCGTTTCTACAGAAGCGGCCGATTTGATCAAACGTGTGAGATTCTCGTTCCGCCTTGTCATCATACAGAAATCCGTTTCTTCGTAGTTGCCATACTGAGGGGAGATCAACATTTTTATCCGACGATAATGTTCCCTACGACATTCTGCTCTCGTAAGAACAAGAGTGGATTGGAAGTTTTGCATGGAGGGTCATGGGATTGATCAATGTCAGAGATAAAGCTGATAGCCAAGTTGCTCAGATACAACCCTGAAGATCGTCTTCCTCTGAGTGAAGTGTTGGTACATCCCTGGATCAAGAAATATGAGAAGAAACGATCTACAGGAGGACAGACGAGAGAATCGTGATTGGGTCCATCTCGTGATTTTGTATGCAAATCATCTTCATTTGTTATGAATGATTCATTACTTATCGTTCCTTACTCATCAATATCATCGAGATTTCATGATCTCAATTCATGTTTGTAAGGTATGCATTCCTATGAACTTTGTAAATGTTTAGTCCATGCTCACCACTTGTTTACCATACCCAGACCTGACCGATGATGATGATCAGAGATATACACATACATGTTTCCCCACCCGTCCGACTAGGGTGAACTCAATCCATACCTAATGATCCGTTGCCTGATCAACGAGTATAAGAAGAAATCAAGAAGGTTAAAAAGAGTTGGAGACCATTTATTCATAATCGTCTTCCCTTGGTGAAAAGTCGGTATCTGCTATGGCTATTTTTATCAGTCTTCAAATTCAAATCAGGTTTAATTTCTTGACTCTCAATATGACAAACAATAATCAGATATTCCATGAAACTTTACTTGACATGATAGAGATTTATTTTATCCATTGTTTAAAATTGATGGGGAAAAAAAATGATTTGAACTCACAAACTCTCATAGAATCTCTTTCAAAAATTGCCATTGGTAAAAATTTAATCAAACCTCTTCCATCCCTCCAAACTTCAGTTTGATCTATCAAAGTACATTGAACTTGTAAATCACCTTTGAAAATTATTTCAGATTCAGGTGCTGATAGATATATAGTAGTACCATTTGGATCTTCTTGTATATTTGTAAACCATGGAATTTGCATTTTATGTTCTTTGTCTTGAGATAAGAAGTAATCTAAATGTTGTAAAAGTGGTGAAGGGTTGAGATTATAATGATTTGTCAAACTTGTAGAAGAGAAAAGATTAGATAATGTTGTTGTTGGATCTTCGTCTTCTTCTTCTTCTTGTTCTTGTTCTTGTTGATTGGGGTAGTATGTTGAGGTTGAAGAAGATTGTCTAAATTTTTTAGGTTGTTTCTGTTTAGTAGATGAAGTGTTAGTTTGAGCTTTACCTTTACCTTTATCTTTACCTTTTGTTCTTGTTTTCAATTTTGATGTGGAAGTTTGATTTTGTTCTTGATTCAATACAAACTCAGGAAAAGAAAGTGTAACACTTGTCACATGAGAAACATTTGGTCCATATTCCTCTTCATCATCATCATCATCATCATCATCATCATCATCACCTCCTTCTTCTTCTTCTTCATAATATTTTTCATCAACTCTCACATTATCCACTGAAATCTTGACATATCCAAAACCCTTATTAACTGTACTGCCCCTTGTCCATATACCAAAAGGGTTCAAAGAGGTGGAAGTTATATTTGCTTTTCTCACATTGGTCAAAATCTCAAACGAGTCTTTTTCAACCAATGTTAATTCTACTGATTGGTGATGAATTGGGATTGTGAGGGGAGAATTAAGGTGATCTTTCCCTAGTAGAGTCAAGAGGGTAGGTGGGTTGTTTGGATATTTACTCAACGTGATAGAGAACCATGTGGATGGACGAGGGTTGATAGGTGTTGAAAGTGAATTTTCCGTCAGTCCAGGAGCTGAAGATTAGTTTCAAAATCTGAGTGCCTGAGTGTGAGAAGGGTCTGAAAGGTTGGATCAAAGGGGCAACTAAAACTTACTAGGAGGTATCGGACTGAACTCGGAGTTCGATGGCATTTGCCAGCTGGAACTCCCTTCAGGCCAAGACATGTTAACAAACGATTCAAACTGGTTAGCGTATCAACTTGGATCGTCTGTGATATATGATCTGATCTGAGTGAGTGTCGAATACTTTGTTAATTATCTTCGGGGACCTACAAGTCGTAGTCAAGAAAACAAATATGATGAGATAAACAGATCAGCCAGTCAGAGGAATTTATATCATTTCACACAACAACCCAAAGACGGAGCAAAATCAAGACCAAACGTCACAAGGGTCATTCGATCAAAGGCTCGTCAGGCTCGTCAGACGCGTCGGATCACCTCATCTTCCGCCAACTGCATCGAATTTGTCAAGCAACAAATCACAACAAGAAACGACATCTCTTATACCTATTCCATCTCAGCGCAATCTAAGAGGACCACACTCCGTCCGGACTATATCTCTCACATCTTTCATATCTACCGACCTGTGTGTCATATCCATTCCCTTCATCGGGACACTTGGAATGCTGTGTTGTTGGTGTTTCGCATTTAAAAATCCGTACTCCGTCTTGACACCCGCAGAGGTCCGACCGTCACAGTGGGGGATGTCAGAGGGGAGTATCATGTGTGCGGAAGACATAGGAGCAGGGGCAGGGGGTGGGGGAGTGGGGTATCGAGCAGGTGGTGTGGCGTTTCGAACGAAAGGAGTGGGTCTTCTCGTTGTGATAGGAAAGAGTGGCGAATGCGTGATTAGATTGGTCGCCTCTGGTCTGGAGAAATGGACATGTGGACTGATTTCGACTTGTAAGCTCGAAGAGTCAGAGAAAGAGGGTGTCAGAGGTGTGTCGTCTACGCAAGCGGCCGAAGTTGTTGTGATTGGGAGTGATCCTGTTATTTCTCCCTGCCTCTGCTGTTCCACATCTCCGTTTATTCTCCCCATTCGGCCGTATCCCTCAGTTTCGTGCGAAGCGTTCTCTAATGCACTGTGTCGCTGGCCCTCGGGGCAAGATTCACAAGATTTTTGATGTGTTTCAAAGTTTCCCTTTCCGTTTGATATACAGGTCGAGGATCCGCTTTGCGTCAGATTCCCCTTCCTCTCCTCATCATGCCGGTGGCCCATCTCTGCGTCTCCCCGCCTTCCTTTTCTGATACCATGTGCCAAGTCCCTCCATTGTTTCCTCGGATCTCTACCCCACTCATGTTCTTGATAAGGTGCTTCACTGATTCTTGCCACACATGTAGACGCCCAAGTAGATTTACTAGAGAATCCCCAAGCGTGTCTGATGAACGAAGGAGTGAAAGTATACAGTGTGGAAGAGAAGTGACAAGTGAGAATATTGAACATGCCCACGAGAAGAAATGAGGCAATATCTAAGAACATCGCTACAATGAGAAGGAGAGAAGAGATGATGACGTGAAAAAAGCCTAGGATAATGAGTAAGAAGGCAGCGAGGATGATAGCAAGGTGATCGACAAGATGAAGTGCCATTGTGGTCAGAGCATGAATGAAAGATTCGAGCCAATATGGAACATCGCTATAAGTCGAAGTGGTTTCGTTTGAGATCGACTCTTTTTCAATTTGAGTACGGTGACATGTTTCCGTCTTGATTGGAGAAAGCTCAGTCTGAGCAGGATGAATGGACTGGGGAACCGCCATCAAAGCCCTCTCGGACTGATGAGTGACCGGAATGGAGGTGGACGGACCTTCATCGGATGACACAATCACTGTTGGAAGCGCAGTCGGGCCATGTACTGAAGCTACAGACGAGAGACCTGAAGCAAGTTGAGGAGAGTCAGAAGGAAACAGAATCAATTGTGAACCAATCTGCGTCGGCGTCTGATGTCGGAATCGTCCTTCGATGTTGAGTCCATAATTGGGGGAACCTACGTTATGTGCATTCTCTGGCGCAATGACATTGAGATTGGTGTATCGACGAGTTCTTCTAGATCCTACAGAATCCCGAGAGCGTGGTGCTGCTGGGACACTTGAAGCAGGAGCGTTGGGAGGCTGATACGGGACGGCTTGCTCGTATGCGGGTGGATTGGGAGATGCTCGGATTTGAGCTCGGACTCGGGCGCTGAGTAGGTTGGGAGGTTGTGATGTGTAGATGGAGGAATCAGGGATTGTCGAGTACGGGCTGACAGTGTGGGTGACTTTGGAACGAGGTGGAAGAGTCGGCCCCCTGGGAACTGGGTTGGAAGAGGGTGGCTGAGGATGATCAGGATTTCGAATTATCGGGTTTGGACGAGAAGGCAATGCGTCGTGTATGTGTGACTCTTTGATTGGATGTGATACAGGGCGAAGACTTTCGACTTGAGTTCCCATGATGCCTTCCACTCCAGCGTCAAGTGGGGAACATCCCTGCTGTGGCTTGTGAGTAGTTGCCTGTCTAAAAGACTTTTGTGTCCTTCGACTTGAGGTATGATAGGGATGAAAAGGAGCATGAGGAAGTTTGGTATGTTTATACTTGTCGATTGTCGCCTGTGGGATAGGTAAGTCGAAAAGTAGTTTTGGAGGACGAGGTGGGAGAGTTGGAGGGTGAGAGGTATGGCCGAGAGGACGATTAGGGTTATACATCTTGAGAGTGATATTATTGCGGGTTATATACAGGGAGAGTGAGAGGAAACGAGAACCCCGAGGTATGGACGATGTGAGGAGATGAGAGAGGGGATGGAATGTAAGTGAGTTCGACGATCGACAAGGCCGTCATAGGAAAAGGACGATCAATACCGTATCGTCATTTTTCTCGTATCTTACGAACCACCTCATCTCCGACGGCCGAGGAGGACATGAGAACATTTAAGGCCTCTATGCTCTACTCTAAACGGCTATAGGACAATCCGTCCATTCTTCGTGATTCAAACGATGCCATCCTCTAACTTCATCTTTCTTGATCTTGGTACTTCTTTTACGTTTTCGAGCCTTCCCGTTCTTCCAGATGAGCTTACTCCAATGACCGTCAATATGAGCTTACCTTGTTCAAGTTATTGAGCTTCTCTTCCATTTCTTCCAAGACCTGTTGCCACTTTTCCAAAGGAATGACTGTCTTTTCTTCTGGAGCTTCTAATCCTACCAAATGTGTTTCTTCTTCCGGTAGTAAATCTTTCAGATTGTTGTATGATTTGGCGAAAATTGGATCTACACTAGTTATACCTTCGCACAGGTTTCTCAGCCTGACTTATGAGCTCGACGTAGGTTCTGAGAAGCAAAGGACTTACACAGTGTCTGGTATTATAAGAGATTGCAGTAAAGTTTTTGTCAAAATTGCCTTCTCCTCTTCTTCCAACTTGACACCCATTTCATCTGACCCTTTCCACATATAAAGCAGCCATACAGCCAGAGACCATCTGAACGAATCATCTTGGGTCTTCTCACCCTTTCGCGGGATGACATGATATAGAATCTCCTTGGAAAGGACTTCTATGAATCCAGACCAATGATTCCATTGAAGATAGGCCAGTAGATCCTGCCAAATCATCAAAGAAGCTTTGGTGGGTTGTTGATCACTCATCAGTGGTCGATTTCTAATAGATCAGTCACAGACTCTCAAATTGAGCTGCAAAGATTACAGAAACTCACTTTTGGGTAGTAGGTACCAATCCGTCAGCTCCGCAAAGAGCTTCAGCGATATCTTCAAGATCGCAAGTCATATCCTCCCTGATTTCTCTCATTTGTTTTCCAGTCTCATTATCCTCACCTTCTACCCTTTCCCTTAGACGAATCTTCATCACCCTCTTCCAGCGTTGGATGGATTCTTGACTTTTCCGTATTTTGACGTTTTCGGTGTTGACGGCGGCACTGACGAGAGGGAGGAAAGAATGTTGATGAAGGTATTGAATGGCGGTATAGACCGCTTGGAGTAGCATAGGGTAAGGAGGGAGGTCTTCGTGAGTGCATCGATGACGCAGTGTGATGAGAGATTGAGGGATTTGTAGGGTTGCAGCGAGATGTGAAATGGGTTGTGCCATCATTCCTTGTCATGTCAGCTTGTCTTGTTCACTGCTCTGTGACATTAATAGCTGTTGAAAATGAGGATGGAGGACACAATAAGGACAGGTAAAGTGAGATTCACCTGTTTGAAGTGGATCCACCAAACCATTTATGAATCTGACAACGGCCATCCCACATGCCATCCTCGCTGTTTGACGTTCCTCTGAAGACTTGGCAGGTAAGAACGAAGCGGAGACTAGATCGTGGGTGAGCAAGATGAATACGGGACAATTCGGAGAAGATATGTATATGCTCAACTGTAAGTTAGAACCATGAACCCACTCACTGGATGTAGGTAGAAGAAGGTAAGAGCTCACCCGAGACAGAGCTCGTCTACGAGAGTCCGTATCTGCCGAAGGTGCAAACAAGAGGTCATTGAGTTGTTTGAGGTCTTGACTGGAAGCCCAGGGGACACGTCGTGGTAGGCTCATAGTAGTGATATATCTATGTGTATATATGTTGGGTACGATGATGAGATGAAAACAGATAGAAAAGTTGAAAAAGTCAAAATTTCGATGTTTTTCAATGTCCAGATGTTTGTTTCGCCTCTCGTCTTTGCGAAACATCTTCATCTATACATACATACATGTTCCCTTGTCACATCGTCTAGAGCAATGACAGAGGAATACACACGTTCTTATCAATACCGACAATCTCAAACAAGTTTCACGAGTGTCGCAAGCGAGCAGCGTAGTCTACTTAAGCAGCCGGCATCAGTCGAGGTCGGACAGTCTCCCCATCCCCTAGCCTACAACCTCTCCATTCGACCTTGGACGACGTCAGTGGACGATCATAATCATCTCAAACAACCCAAAGAGAAGAAGAGAAGGCTTTACGACTGACACACCGTCACTTCTTGACGAGCGGATCATCGCTTTGTGCCAAAGCCAACAAATATGGCCACCACCGGCCCCTCAAACACAAACTTCCTCATCCATGCCCCAATCCAGAGTCTACTGACGTGGTCATCCATCCCATCTGATCACGACAAGAAGTGTGTACACTCTCTATTCACCTCTAACGAATCTCGATCGGAGATGTGTCTCGCTGCCAGAGAGAAACGCTCCTTCTACGTCGACTTGTCAGAAAAACCATTCCTCCACGGAAAGTCTGAACGCCGGGCAGAATCGACCATCTATAAGATATCGTGAAGCCCTCGTACTGTCACTTACTTATCTACGCGTCACATGTGAGAAGAGTCTTCGTGATACAGTGTGGGAATTTTTCAGTCGATCAGAGCAGGAAGGAATGAGGAGTTATAGGTTGACATGGGATACACCCGAATCAGTCTCTGAATCGTTCATGGAGGGTGACGGGAAATCTGAAACTCGTGTAGCGATTCACGTGAATGGAGCAACTGAGATTGTGGACTTGATTCGCGATAATGATTCTTGTCGAGATGATACTAGAGGAGACACGGGGACAGTGGTGTGTCACTGACATGTAGTGATGATGGCGTTATTGATTTCTTCACTCTCCTTTGTCTGAATACAATGTCGAAACGTGTTTTTGGTCTTGTGATACATGTGGTAAGCGAAGATCTCAGCCACGAATGAAAGGATCTCGGAATCGGATGAATGACCATTTCGTTATATATAACAAGACGCCGAGAAGTATTGCCCCCCAATCGATTTCTAACGACTTATCCAATTCATTGCCCTATTCAATCAAGTGGAGCCTCCTACGATAAGCAGCACTATCCACAAGCTAAGACAACTCCATCAAATCAACAGCTATTTCCTGTCTGTCCTTTACAGTCAATTACGACAATATGAACACCGACAACGACAACACGAGCATCATCGACTTGTTGGGCCTCAGCATCTTTGACATCAGCATCGTCCCTATTTTATCCTCCATACCTACTCCCACTGAGGACGATAACATCACTTTGAAATCGCTCATGGCCAATCCGGAATTCAAGAGCTTGATGCGTCCCTACATTGAGAGCGGACACTCAGTGCTTGTTGAAGTATCCGAAACCCCATTCGACCCAGTCCCTGCGCAAAGGCAAAACACTCAAAGTCTGTTCACAATCCCGCGGGAAGATGGACTCACAACTAACGCTCGCCTGACCTTGAAGAAAACCATGCGGGATCGAGCTAGGAGCTTGTTTGGGTCTTCAGCGCCAAGGGGAACGAGAGTGTATAAGATTTGTGTTGAAGATTATGGAATTGTAGTCCCCACGTCCAGCGGATTTGAAGATGGCGAGTTTGGTGAGGAGGAGGAGACAGTGACTAACCAAACGGATGATCAGACCGAATCACGTAGGTGACAAGGGGAAGGGGAGTCATAACAATGATCCTTTGTTGATGTTGACGTATTGATTAGCTCACTTGGAGTACTTGCTGAGATTATCTGACATCATTCATGTTGATAGTGTAAGCGAGCGGAATGAATGAAATGACGATGTTAGGGTTTCATCGACCTTGGTAATTCAACACCATATCTTCCTTTTGATTTGGATATATAAAGAGGTACATCACACCTCTTACATGTCCACAAATCTCCCAGTCACCTCTAACATACATAAAGCAGTGATAATATATACAGTAGTACTTGTGCTCATCACAAAACAATGAACAACCAAAGAAACGATTCATACACTCGTACCGAACAATCGACTTCGACTGCAAGGACAAAACAAGCTGACTCATATTACACAGTCATATCCATTATTTGTGATCCCTCTCCAACCTTTGAGGAACAAAAGGTGTTGGCTCACCACCTCACCGAACTCTCCAATCGAAATTCCATCTACCACTGTATAAGAACTAAAGGAGTTTTGTACGTTGAAGTATCTAAGCAGTCTCTCCCATTCAACTCCGATGACCTTGTAAGCTTTGCACTTTTGGGAGAAGATGAGAATGAAGATGATTTCTATACAATACTCAGATCTGACATTGGGGATGAAGAGTTAGGGAAGGTAGTATATGAGGATGGAGTTGAGAGGAAGAGGTACCAGTTGACTTTTGTTCTTTCCCAACCCACAGAGGATGAAGATGAGACACGTCAAGCAAGTGATGAAGATACGTATGTACGTAGTTTGAAGCACAATTGAGATCTACTACAATTTTAACTCACTTTGATAACGTGGAATGTGTACATATGAAAGATGATTGAGTAACTTCACACCCAATGGAACTCATGGACGATGAGTACTCATCTCCCTGCTGCACCATCAAAAGATGGTATCCCATGGTCACATCATCCTCTGCTGACTTGACTCACTGATCACTGATGTAAGACTGAGGACTTGAGTGAAGTACACATAGAATGCAAAGGGACATGCGATGATGATGAACATTTCTATCACTCTTATATTCCTCCTCGATCAACTCAAGATGTCCAACCTCGGTCTCAAGACGAGATTGTCATACAGGGTCCGCGAGGCCTGGATTACAAATCGTCCTCAAAGGCCGAATGACAACACCTCTAAGCGGAGTTGATCTCGCTACAAGCGTGGTCGTGACTGAAAGACCTGGGGGTGTTTCTGACACGTAACAACAACGAGGGTGATGATCGTCTCCGATCTTCCTTTGTGATACGTTTGGCTAGCGAGATTCTCAGACACGAATGGAAGTTGTCCGAATGAGATAAGCGAACATGTTACCATATATATTCAGGTCCACAGGAAGAATGACCCTCACCCTGACTTCTAACAACTTCCCCAAATCTATCGATCCAGCTGAAGGGCCATAACAGCGCCTTTTGATATAAACATCACACACGAGGGACTAGCTGAAGCAATTACACCCAATCACTCATTTAAATCCGCCATACTCAACTGTCAAGCCGCAACAGTATGAGTATTGAAGTTCCTTACGATTCCACCATCTTCTCTACTCCTGTCATTGTCAAACCCACTCCTTCTGCTCAAGACCATGAAATTTTGAGATCAATCCTCACAAGTGCTGTACCCAATGAGATGACACGTTCATATTTTGCCACGGAACGTTCGGTTTATGTCGAACTCTCGGAATCACCCTTCCCGAACATATCTACAGGAAGGGAAGATGACCAAAACTTATTCGTTGCCCCGGATTCGGATGGAACTGTGACTCACGTTCGTATAACTTTGGAAAGGACAATTGGGGAGAAGACCAAGAGTCTTTTTGATTGGGCAGTACCGTCGAAGAGGACAAGAAGATATAAGATCACCGGTCAGGGCCTCTTTTTCGGATCTGTAATGCAGAACACTTCAGGAGGTTCTGAGTCTGGTGGGGAAGAGGTGGTAATTGAAGATGATACATCTACCTGTGAGCTAACGGCATTGGATCGGTACTTCTGAAGGGAGGGATAGAACTAATAGTCCTTTATACATCTTGATGTTTGACTGACAAGTTCGCTTAAATCACCTACTAATTTCTGACATTCACACGTGTTGATAGGCTAAGCGAGCGGAAGGAATAATTGACGATTGTATCGATTCTCAACTTCTCAACTTCGGTAAAGTGCATTAGTTTCAGTCCTTCGTCTTACTTATAAGTGCACTTGACTTAGAGAGGTAAACACTTCTTATACACATCATAACATTCTCATCAATATCTAACACTTGACAAAGTATCACTGATTGAACAATCACATCCATGACTTATCATCAAACCATGAGCACAAAACAAGACTCCACTGTAGACAGTCAAACTGAACAAGATATGAATAATGAAGGCATTTCAAACATAGATACTCGGACAAACAATTTGAGTATACCTACCCAACAAGAAACTTCAATAACAAGAACTAAACGAGGCAGATTCCTTTCTTTGATACTTTACGCTTCTTATTCTCCTCATCCAGCGGATAGAGATGAAGAGATTCTCTCAGCCATTCTGACATTTCCAGAAATTGATAGCGTAATAATTCATTCCATTCAAGATGGCAAACCCTTGTGTATTGAATTATCCTCCAATCGTACCCATGTACTTGAACCACAAACTTCAAATGAATATTCGACTTTTACAATGCATCATCGTTCTCAACAGGATTGTATTTACGTCAGGACTAGACCTGGGTTGGACGATGAGGTTGTAGGGAAGATTGTGGATGAATTTGGAATTGAGAAGACAAGGTATCATCTGACTTTCAAGACCTTTGATTGGTCCAGGCTTACAAGGAATGGAGAGGAGTGAGCTGATATTGTAGAGGATCATACAATATGAGATGGTTGGTAGGGTAGACCTGACTAGTATATGTGATTGGATGTTGAAGATGTCAATGTGAAATGAATGAGGGCGACTTTGATCGTGTGAAACATACTCTACAATCAAGAGAGATATATGTAGCTTTCATATGTACGTTGCAGAAAATGTCTCGTGATGGGTTCCATTGTCCTTTCGTCAATTGATGAGTTCGCTTAGTTATCCTCATATTAAACGAGGCGTAGAGTACTACGACGGACTGCGAAGCGGAGTGTGACCGTTTCAACACTCCCCCTAATCCTCCTGGTCAATTTACATAAGACGTGCAGCTTTCCCCCAATACGAAAACTCTTGACCATCCGACTCAATTCATATTGTCATCTCACAATAACAAGCATATAGAACATTTCTACAATCACTTAGCAGAATCACAATGTCAACTTATCAAAACCCCTCAACATCCGCATCAACTACTCGACCCAGTCAATTTGTTTCCGAACAAGATAAAGCCGATATCCACATTCTACGAAACACAAAATATCCGGGGGCGAGGATACGTAGTTTTCTCACCTCCAATGTTCCGGTTTATGTTGACTTGTCTGAAGTCGCCTTAGATCGTAACTTACCTGATGATTTTCTATATACCTTTCCTAGACGTGATGGAACAGTTACACACGTTCGAATCACTCGGGAGAAACCCCTCGAAGGAGAGAATTATGGGGACGGAGTGAGAAGGTATTTGTTGACTGAGAAAAGGACTTCTAGAGTGGTAACTACTTGTGTGGATGAGGGTCTGACTTTCCAAGAAGGTGAAAGGGAAGTTTAAAACGATGAAGTAGGCCTGAAAAGGTCAGACAAGAGATAGGTTGAATGAAAGAATGTAGAAGTGAAGATGCATGACAGCCTCTAAAAAACTCAGGTGACATATTCTACTTTACTCATGAATAAGCCAGTACAGAGGTAGTGGAAGTTTTGAACATGGCAGAGAACGGCCAACTCGGAAGATGATACACTTCTTAGACGTTTCGGATAGTCTCTCCGTTTGATTTAGTCCACTATGGGTCTGGCCATTCACAGGTGGATTTCAAACAAAGGAATCGAACTTTCTTCGTCTCACAAGCGAACGTCACAACTCCGATTCATCTCTTGAAACGTCTAGTACTCCTTTTCTCCTGTTATATAGAAGCCTCATCATCCTCTTGTCAATCAATACATATCTCCTCTTCTTCACTCATCTCTTCTTTCTACACTCATCTCACTCATTTTCATTGGCTTACATCATCAAGCTCATAATTTCTCATCAAATCACACAACATGTCAATTAATTTTCTAAGCATCCCCTACCAGTCCACCTCTGAATCATTTATGGTCTGGTCCCCCGCTCCTACTGATAGAGACAAAACTACCCTTGACACTATGAGCCAAAGCAGAGATCTCATGGAAACCATATACTCCAACCTCCTCACAGGTCATCGGGTCTATGTAGAACTGTCAGAGAGGCGTTCGGAGATTGATGATCATATAAGATCCGAGGAGAGTAGAGGTGAAGATATGATTTATCCTTTTGGTAGGACAGACGGTCCCACAACATACATAAGGTTCAGATATGTGGTACCTACTTTGTATAACAGGATCAGTAGTGTTTTCCGCAGATCAGGAGGGGTAGGAATAGTGAGGAGATATAGGTTGACAGGTTTTGAAGATATACGAACAATGACTATAAATTACTTGGATGCGGAAATAGTCACTATTGAGAGCAGGGAGGAGACATTTGTATGATTTTTGAATGTCAGGAATTGAGTCTGGGAAGTTGTGGATACTGTGGATTATGAATGAAGATTCCATCCAGGCCCGTTTCCGTGCGTCGAGTTCGAGATGAGGTTTGGGTAAGAGTCTAGGTACAAAGTGAAGTGATCTTGATAATCCACTTAATACTTCAGTCTAAGGGGATTCACTGATGATACCGGGACTTAGATGATCATCTACGACCTCTGGGGTGTTAGTAGAAATACTGATAATGTGCGGAGAATGATATGTACCAACGCTATGCAGTCCCTTAGAAGGATATCGCCACATGCAGTGGATGTGCCACAAGCCACGTGGTTGATACTTTTTGCTAATCTGGCCGGGGTTAACTCATGCACCATTAAGTTACTTAAGTACTGGGATGAATATGCAGTAAGCAACAATTGTACTCCACTCATTTTCATACCTGTGACACGTTGAACTCAAGCTCGATGTCGATATCTACCTCAATAGTCAGCACTTCAAAGGGATAGACCCGCTTTCATCGTCATGCCCCCACCCCCTCCTGCTCCATCGCAGCTCATCGTCCTTCCGATAAGGTTCTCAGTGGTGGAAGTGGGGTTATACCGATGTGCTTCTCCTACCGCTTCACAGGTGAGTACTGGTCACCTCATCATTCTTCTAACCTTATCTTTCCTCTATGTAACCCACTACATCTTCCCAACGTGTCTGGGAGAAAAGTAACGTAGGTCCTTGCGATGAAACGGGAGGAGTGAGAAGGAATTTAGCTTTGTGTTTGAGATCCGAATGAAAAAAAACATCAATGATGAGACAGTGGGGACCGATTAGTAAAGATGAAGAAAGGAGGGAAAGTAGAAAATTGAAAATTGTTAAGATAAGTAGATTGACTTTGTAGATACCTTATCTCTCAACATTAGGATTAAAAACGATAATATCTTTAACACCTGAACATCCTATAAAACCTCTTTTAACTTTCGCAAGAGAAAAGGGAATTCAATTTGTATGTTACACCCTTCCCCCCCCCCCCTCTGCCCCCAATCTGATTCATATGACTCCCCTCCCATATCAAGCTTCTGTCTATACTTGAATGGAGAAAACAAGTGGTATATCGATTTTGAAGAAGGATGGCCAAAAACATGGTATACCGGTTTTAAGAAAGGATGGATTGAACAAGAAGCTATGTGGAAGAAAAAAAAACCCATCGATATGGTGGGAAAAAAGAAATGTTAATCCTTAGATGCATATAGGAACCACTTTATGGCGTCCATTATCAGATTGGAAACCTATCCGAGATGAAATTGTCAAATCTGCTTTAGAGATGATTTTGGATATGAGGTATCATCCTATTTTACTTATTGATCCGTTAGTTTTTTTCTTCTCTCTTCTCTCTTCTCTTTCTCTTCTTCCTGATCCTCTTTTCCCTTTTGATCTCCGGTGTTATCACCCATTGTTATCTATTCATGAGATACTATCTCTCCCATCTCTTTATTCTCGAAACGGCGTACACAACCTCCACATGATTCCCTACCTCATTTACTATTCTCGGTGGAAAACGTTCCTATCTGAAAAAACTCTGGATCTCTGGATCGGAGAGGCAGTCATATGATGAAAAATTCATGAATGATAATTGAATGGGATAATAAGACTGACGGATAGATTAGGTATACATCATACCGGATGCGTAGTGGGAGCTTTAAGGATGATGCAGGGATGGAACTTTGCTTCTATTTTAGTAGAGGTGAATTATCTCATACCGTTTCAATCCCTTCAAACTGGTCTCCTGCTTCATGTTTCTTCCTCTCTCTTTCCAGTGTACCAACATTATCATGTCTTGAATTTCTCCATGTCAATCATCCCTCATTGTCGCTGTCATGTTAAGCGGACGACCATCTCAGAGTTGACGCCCCTCATACATCACACGCTAAAGCCGTTTGAAGATGACAAGACAATCTGACATGATAGTACAGAGCTCACTCGGGTCCTTCCAAACATCGTCTATCCGATGAACAATATATCGAAGTGAGTCCCATTTTCATCTTATTTGTCAATCAGCTAGACAGGGATCGCGAGCTGAGATACAGATGTTTGATCCAGATACCATCAACATTCCTCCCTTGGAATGTCTTCCTTGTTGGTTTTCCCCTGAATCGGGTAGCGATGTTTCTGAAGATGAGGAGATGACGGAGGAAGAGATTGTTTCCAGTCAAAGTGAACAAGATCCTGATAGCGAGGAGAAAATGTGATCTGGTGGGGTGGACCACTTTCTTTCGATAGAGACAGGGAAAAACAGAAAGAAACAGAGAAGGGCGAGTTGAATTGGTTAACTGGTATGCTGAGATGAAGGATTAGTCATACGGGAGACATACGGATAGTGGGATGAAGAAGAAAGAAGAAAAAGGGGTAAAGCATTGATTGAAAATTTGTTACATCACTAAAATGTATTTTCTACTGTTGTATATCATCTTCCGAAAGAACCTGTTACTTGTGCCGTTCCTCCCATAGTTTGCATCCTCTCGCTGACCAGTTTGTTCACCTGAAGATAAGTAAAATCCTTTCATTCTCTCTCTTGTGACACAGGCAAAGAGACACGTGAGAAGTCGATCAGAGACAAATGACGAAAACGCAACTTGAGGATGTGAAGAAGATTGGTGTGATGTGACCGAAAAGAAGAAAATGAAGTGATCCAAAGGGATGAATAAGAAAAACAATTGGGAAGACTCACCGCAAAAAACTTTGCAGTACATCTATCAATACAAACAGCTTCACCTTTTAATAATTCACCTTCTGCATAACGTGTAGAGTTTCCTGGAGCGATACATTTCGCGTGACAAGAGTTTACGAGACGGTTGCTGAGGTTGTCAGTGTGATGTGATCAGAAAGATGAGAGATATATTTTACAGTGTTCTATAAGAAAAGGTACTTTGTGAAGTAAAATACGTGAAAGTTGGATCAGGCAATCGAGGAGGATGACGGAGTATGAAAGGATATGAGGCGTGGGAGATCTTGAGTGGATACGTGGGAATGCGGAGTATTACAGAAACAAGGATCGATTGAGGTGTGGGAAGGGGAGGGGGGAGGGGGATGAAAGAAGCAGAAGGAGTAAAGAAGAGGGATAGAAAGTGAAATGGAATTGAGAAGGAGAATAAGGATGAAAGGTTGTTGAGGTCGGTCGGAGAATGGAAAACAAAAAAAAACTCACAAAACATCAGTAATCATATCCAACTCTGCTGTTGCTATCTCCATCTTTGCAGGATCGATATTTGCACCATCTCGATCTAAACGAATAAGCGTTTCTCCAGGTTTAAAACTCCTTCTTCTTGACATTATGAGTGATTATACCCATTCTTATCCATCCCCCCCCCCCACGCCCCACCTCCCCGCCCAATCCCTTCTTACCCTCTGGGCCTTATGTCTTACAGGTCTTTAATTAGAAGTAGGTGGCAAGAATCTCATATCATATCCTCTTTTCACAGTGGGGATATGAAGGCGATTGAACCATATCAAGTTGTTTACCTTACACGGATTCAAAGAGATTGATCCGAAATGAGCTACGTATCTTGGGGAACGATGTGAATGATGAGATATGATGGTTATACCAGTGGAAGGCGGAGAGAAGGAACTTACTACCACTTCCGAATAAGAATGACATCTTTGACCTTGTACTAAGGGTCAAGGGTCTTCCGTCTTTCCTCTTGTCCTAAGTTTTCGAGACTTGAGTATTGGAGCTCAAGAGAATGGACTGATCCGTGACTGATTATGTATATGAAGATATGAGAGAGATATAGAAGGAGTGAGGATGGAATGCAGAGAGAGTGAGAGAGAGAGAAATTCAAAGGAGACGTCAAAACCACTTTTATGTAAAGAAATTTTGATTCCGTCCATAGATTGTAGATGCATAGGGTCAATCTAGATTATATATATGCATATATCTAGATGAAAAGTTTCTAGATACGAAAATTGATCATCTTTTAGCTCATTCAGAGCCCTTGATAATGACACTCTTCTCCCTCAAAGCGTATCCCGTCCAACTCTGACATATCAGCGTGAAATCTCTCCTTGAAGGAACATCTCCGTTTGTCTTTGAACGTGTAAGTGACAGAGTTTCGCTGGGACGAAAGATCACTGGAGTTGCCAGGAAAGTGAGCTGGAGAGACGATCAAATGCACCCACCTCATCATACAAAGCAGTCTTTTTCGCTCCTCCCAATCGTGCCTCTTTCACCAGTTCATTAGCCAACCAGCCGATCGCAGCCGTCATTCCACTTCCACATGTGAACACCAGACTCTTTTCACCTTGAGCCAATTTGGTCCATGCCTCTTCGCCTCCCGCAGCGTCGACGAGGATCTGGCGAAGCTCCTCTATAGGACGGTAAGAGGTGTATGGTTTGGAGTCGGATGAAGGGATGAGGTATTCTGTGAATGGTAATGGAAGGGATTTTGGGATATGTCCTGATGAGAGACCTGGGAGTCAATGGTGTGTACTTTGGTCGAGCAGAGGGAATGTACCTGGACGAGGTTCAGGTGCTTCGCCTGTGTATCTGTGTGTTAGGGAAGGATCTTTATCACTGATATGAGCGGAGGAGACTGCTGGAGGAGCAGGGAAACTGGCGGACAGGAAAAATTGGACGAGGGGAGCATGCGAACATAGCGATTAAAAAGTAAGATGAACCGACGTACCTAGCAAGCGAACGATGATCAAGGACGATCTCGATTTCGTCGTCCGATTTCTCAGAATTACGAACCATCTCTTCGTATGCTCTCTATCAGCCAACCTTCTCCCTACACTCCTACTTGGTAATTGACTAGAGGGGAAAACTCACACCTGACCCAACCGGCGTTGGCAGCTTTGGAAGAATAGTTAGTAGTTGACCATTTTGCAGGAGAACCAGATTCAGTTTGGTAACCTTCCGCAATCCATCTTGGTAGTCCCCCGTCCAATACGGAGACTTTGTCATGACCGAAGGCTTCATGTCAGGACGTGTTCTCGTATCTTTGAAGCAGGTAAAGTGCTGTAAAGATATCCGACTGACCTTTGAAAGTGTATGCCGCACGAGGTGATGAGAAGATACCCATTGTGTCGTACAAGACTACATGGCTGGATCTTTCGATACCTAGTTTACCTACCGGTTAGCTCGCAAATATGAGTTATACACTGGCATAGATCGTTTATTGACGGGCAATCACACCCACTGCCGACCGCCAATTCATAGAATCGGGAGATGGTAGAATGTTTCTTGGACTATACGAAGTACAAGAGGGAACGCGAATATGGAGGCTTCCGATGTCAAGAGAATCAAAAGACACAAGGGAGGACAGTGGAAGAGACGCCGAAAGAACTCACCACACTCCTCTGCAAACTTCTCACCAGTGGGCATCATATGACCTAGCCCTAATGGATTGGTCTCCTTGTTCAAATCTGCCACTTGATCAAGGTCGAACCTCCTAGCTTTTGGAACCCTAGGACCTGATAGGTATTCTGTATCGGCGGAACGAGGACTGTTTGGCATGTGCCAAGAGACGTCGAGTGGGATTGGCTGCGAGTCAGTACGACATCGGGCAAGGGTTTAGAGAGTTTGTCGTAAGGGAAGGGTTAAGAGGATGTAACACAAGGGAACGGGTGTTGAGAGCATTAGAAGAGTATCGAGGACGTATAAGTCTTATGAGTGAAGGGTGGAGAGAGTATGACGTAAGAGGAAAGTGGAAAGAATGTCGAGAAAGTCTTCCATGAGGAACATGCTGGAAGGGTTATGATAAAGTATGGTTTGAGAGAAGATCGTCGAGGATGAGACAAGAATAAATCGTAGGGAGGAAGGGAAGAATGTCGAGGATGAGACAAGAATAATTGGGAGGGAGGGAGGGAAGGATAGATGAAGATTCACTGACCCTGGAAAGAGATTGAAATTCATTAGGAGAAACTAACAAAGGTACTTTTCTATGTAAAGTAGTTACGAACCCTCTGGAATAATGACAAAGCATAAGATTTGACTTCACTCTCACTCTTCCGAGAGATATCAACCATGTTGAGTTGATAGGTTTGATGAACATTTCGAATGAGTTGTATGATTTCCTTTATGGGTTGATGGATCTAGTTGAGAGATGAGGAAGGTAGATTAGGAACTACAGCGGGTAGAGAACGTCGAGAAAATGGAGAAAATGGAGACAGTACAAAGTATAGAGAGTATAGAAAGTATAAAGAGTATAGAAAGTAGGGAGATTATAGAAAGTATAGAGTATAGAGAACAAGTGAACAAGTGAGCAAAATTATTGATGTGAGGGGGGGAAAGTTTCGAATACGCAGAAAAACAACTTCTACGTCTAAAGTGGAATGTGTCCAATGTGTCCAATGTGATTACGGGAAAGGAAGACCCGGAAGATGGAAGAGATGATGAGGTGATCCCGATCTAACTTACCATGGGATTTTCACCCTCCACCCTCCGTTGACCAACTTACTTTGTACTTTGTACTGCATGCCCACACGAGTAATACGGTATTTACTCGTACTTGACATCTAATGAGTGCTGCATGCTGCATGCTGCATGGAAGAGAGAAGATCATGCACTCTCATCCATATCACTGAATCGTCTCGAACCCAACAAGTGGGCCAACGAGACTTCTCTCAACAACTCATTAGACACACCACAACACACCATTGCATGCATCATATAGCGGCCATGACCAATTTCACTGCTTGTTCCTTCTCCGCCCTCACTGCAAGTTCCAAAGTCACACCTTGACCCGTGGCGAATGTCATCCTACATCTGGCCAAGACTTTACCTCCTCCTCCACTTATCAAACCGGATAGATTCAGGGTGTGGACGGAATTGGATGTGGGGCTTTCTGTACCTCCTAACGCTTCCATGTTGAGGACTTCGATGAGGGATTTGCAAGCGTCTATGTATTAGTTAGTCTGATATCATAGACATGCAATTTTACACCTCAGGATCAGAGGACTGTCAGAGTTGTCGAATGTGATAATGTGTAAGGAGAGTCAAGAGATGCCACAACAGGGAGAGAAACTTGACAGTGATGAGAAGGAGGGATGGAGACAGACCGAAAGAAAGAAAGAAAGAAAGGTAGAGAGAGGGAGAAAGTGAAAGAGAGAGAGAAGAGAAAGACGTAGACCACCCACCCTTCAACGACTCGCTCGACGACAAAGCAAACGTCTCCGTCTCCCCAGGTGCATCCACCAACTTTTCCCATTCCGTAGCAAAAGTGACATAACTCGGACTGATATAATCCCCAGCACCCAAATCACAATCCTCAACTTGATATTCATCTTGATATCCTTCTTCTTCCGGTTCACCAGTATTCGGATCTACTTCTTTGCTAACAAACCTCAAAGTACATCCAAACGTTCCAGAAGCATATTCCATAGGATCATCTCTAGTGAAAGAAACATAAACCGTTCCAGCTCCTTTGACACTGGTCAAACTATCTATTGGAATGATGAAATCTTCCGTCAATCCACTATCAGGTGAAGGGGACATGAGTACCGTCACTCCTTCCAAGACAGTATCAGGAATAGTATTCGATACGTTGAATTGAAACACGATGTGTTGTTTGAAAATATGTTTGACGACGGAGACGACATATTCCGTTTCTGATTCTGTGAGTTCGATGGGTTTAGGGGATGATTTGAGAACAGGACCGTAACCTTCGAGTTCTGGTATGGAGGCGAGTTGTGTTGCGTAACTCGAAGCGGTCTCAGAAGTGGCGCTTGGTAAGGGAGAAGGTTCGGATGGTTTGGAGGATGAAGCTGTGATGGATTCGAGAGCTGAGGGTCGTTGAATGATTTCCGCTTGGGCTTGTTCTCGTGAAACTTTGGGAATGGAAGATATGTCAAAGGCTGTGGAATGACGAGAGTCATCTTTGACATATGAAACCAGTTCACTTTCTAATGCCGCCAGGGAAAAGGTGGCCTCTGCATGCGTCAGCTAGATCTCGTTGGACAATTGGACTATGATCGAGCTGACCTTCACGGACAAAAATGTCCGCCAGAGCTTTCTCCTCCAAAACCTTGATATACATAGCGGCCCGATCTCTGACTTCATCATCGACGTCGTCCAAGCATCGTCGAAGGAGAACGTTGACACTTTTCATCACGGCCTTGTCGTCCACACAGACGCCGAATTTGGCCAAGCTGGACACTGCGGCAGCACGAACCACGGCGTTCTCCAGGACAACCCGATTGTATATGTATCGAATGAATTTGGTGGGGTTTCGAGTTTTTGGGCCTTCTATGCCGAGGAGGTGAAGGATGCGAACGGAGAGTTTGGTGAACTCGCAATCTTCTATGAATTCGCACAAGTGGGCCAGGGCTGAATCGTCAACTCTGTTGCACAGCGTGCCTTGAATGTATGCTGACTCACCAGTATCGCGACACTCTTTGATATACTTGACCATATCAAAGATCGCCTCTACCACAGCATGTTTGAAGTCGTAACCACCCTCGTCACGCAACACGCCGGAAAGGAAGGATAACATGACGGCCTGTTTGGCAGGAAACTTCAAACATAGAGAGCGAATGGCATCCACAACGATGATCTTAAACTCGTCCGTGATGTCTGCCATGAAGGAAGATATCTGCTTCATCAAGCGATCGACTGATGCCTCGTTTCCGGTCTGCTCATGTCAGCTTGATTCATCCCGAATTGACGCTGAAGCTGACCTTGAGAAGTGTAGTAATAGCATACGTCGCAATGCTGCGATTCGAATCGGTGATGAGATTCTCCATATCCAAATTGCACGCTGTCACGGCTTGAGGGTGTGTCATAGCCAGCTTGCTGAGGGTCTTGATCGCCGCAAACTTGAGCACCGGTTTCGGGGAGGATAGGAACAGCTGAAGAACTAAATGCGTCAGCTTCATAAGGGATGGTAAGCGATTGGACAGCTCACCTGCAACAGGACGGAAGAGTTCCGCGTTGGTAACATTGCGCATCTCACAAATGGCTCGAGCAGCTTCGATGTTGACCATATCGGATTTATGTCGTAACAGTGTCTCGAGGAATTCATGCATTTGTTTTTGTACACTGTGTGGTGAGCTGAATGCCCTACCTCCCAAGAACGACATGTTAGCTTACTTGGGGTCCTCATCCATGACTTTTCTGGCGAATCGAGCTAACATACAAATGGCCATCGGGTTGCGAACCACGGCACTAGCTCCCTTCGCACCAGGTCCAAATTGCTGAATCAATTTGGTGACTGCCATTCTGTCTTTCTCTCTGATCAAATAGAGAAGACCCAATGCGTGGTATTGCATGATATAGCTCGACGAAGCGACGGCTTGGTACCCGCCTGATCCTCCACCAGATAGATAGCTTGCACTCGCACTGTAAGAAGACGATGAAACAGCTTTCGCATTGACTGCTTCTTGCGCTTCGTTTGCCCATCGCTTGATGATGGTAGGGGCGATGTGAAAGAGGTGGTATGATGAGATGATCGAGGCTGAGGAAATGGAAGGTGAGCGGTCAACGAGGGCGGATTTGAAAAATCTCTCGACGGATTGGACTGATTGCGCCTGTTTGTCAGCTGAATTCACCCTGCGGTATTCCTATCATAGTCGTGTGAGGGTTGAGCTGGTAGGGTAGGATATGAACTCACATCGATGATCCTCGCCAGGGCGCGGATTGCATTTGGACGATATACCACTTCCAAATTGGGTTGCATATCTTTCATGATACTCGAAGTGACCATGATGACGTCTTCTGCTACGGTCGAGAGTTCTTTGATGACTAGATAGACCATTTGTCGTAGAGCGCTCTGAGAGTCAACAACAAGTCACATTCCGGGCCGGGGGGAATGATGAGATGACAGTTGGAATGAGACTGACATCTTTATGTTGAAACAACTTGGTAACGCCAAAGAACAGAGTGGTAGCTTCTTGGGTTGAGAACGTCTCTCCGACATATAAGAGATAGACTATCCGAGTCAAGAGAGCTCGACATTTCCTTGGAGAGATGGGTGACTCGTTGAAAACCCTAGCTTCTTGTATGACGGTCGATTTGTCGTGATAGAACGCTGTGGTGTCAGTCTTCTTTCTCCCCATTCCTAACCTCATCTCAATTGAGCAAACAGAGGAAGACTCACACATCCCACCGGACTCTTCATCTTTTTTGAAGGCCATGATGAACAGGTGTCTACCTCGTGGAGGGTGTAACTGTTACAGGGAGTGTAGAGTATGGTAGAGATGGAGTGACGCGCTGCATGAGCTCACGGCGATAGACGTGGAAGTTGAATTGTGGCGGTGACGGTTTACGTAAGGTTGTTGTACCCCACTTTCCCCACTTCGGAGTAACTCTGGGATCTGGGACAAGCACAGCCATGTTGACGGGAACGCGACGGCAGTGGCAAGTGGGTAACCTTTACTTGCATGAATACATTGTGACAATTCTATATTCCTTAGCCTGGGCATCCCTATTGACCTGTGTATACCCCTCTTTGACCTGTACCGTCTCCTCCCCCTTCTTCCTCGCACTCTTTCCAATTTCCGACCTGGCCGATCTTTTGGTAAATAAGCACGCGCCCAAGATCCAAGATCCCTTTCTTTCCAACGTTAGAGATTCAACCGCGCAGTCTTTTCTTACTCCCCCCACCCTCTCTCTTCACCCTGTCCCATGTCCCACATGTATCTCTCTAAACTCTTCTATATCCTCTCCGTCACTTCAGCCGTCTACGCAGCATGTATACCCAGTACCACCTCCACCGACGATCTTCAATCTTTGTTTCAAAAAGGAGGTGTCAATTACATCCTCTCCCTCTGCCCGAATCAAACTTACAATCTCACTCAAATCCTCAATTACACCGCTGCCGGTCAGGTTAGTAACCCCAAGTCCCCTCAATCCTTTGACATTGATTGATGAGGTAGGAAATCTCGACAGAAGGATATCCAACAGATGTTAGTAGAGCCACGTTATTAGTAGGAGGTTTCAACATTTCCACAGCTGTCCAAGCTCAGAATAACGGATTGGATGGGTGTAAATTACGAAATGTTCAAGTGAGTCATACCCTTTTCCCCCTCAGATGAGAGCTTATCCTAGGTGAATGGGAATAGGGGGGATGATCCTATATATCAAGGAGGAGGGGGGTTGATAGAATTTGGAGGTGATACTAATGGACAATTGGTAGAATATGTTCACTCGTTTGATCCTAGGTGAGTCATTGAAGTGAAATAATGAAGTGAGTTCTGATTTTCCTAGAGGATGGTCATGTTTACATATGTGAGTTCTTGTTCATCTACGAACAAGCTTACCGCTGGGGATGATGGGTTAACTAGAATAGTGCGGAAGGACCTTTCACTTGCACAAACGTCACTATTCAGAATAACGATATTGGTCCTTGTGGTTCAGAGTTCTTCCAAATGGTACGTTGACGATCTCGATGTACTCTTCCCGGGAGCGAATAACACTAAAGGGTGAAGCTCATACATAGTGGTCAGATGGTATAAGTCTCAGTTGTCAATCGAGTTTGGTACAGAACAACGTTATAACCGATGCGACTGATGGAGGTGAGTAACTAATATTTTACTCATTCCATATCTATCCGCACACCGGATCCTTAAATTGAGCGAATCTGAAAACACTGATGCTGACGGTATAGGTATAGTAGTATTCGGTGCACCGTTCTCCACGATCCGGAATAACACTATTCGCGTTAAAACTGTGCGTCATCCTCTCACCACCTTCCCCGTTGTTGTAGAAGTAGAAGCACGAGTATATGAGGTAGAAGCACGATTAGGTGAAGTAGAAGCACGAGTAAATGAAGTAGAAGCACGAGTAGTCGAAAGTAGAAGCATGAGTAGTCAAAAAAAAACCACCAGAGAAGTTGACACCCACAGAAAACTTTGTTGGGAGGTATCAACATGGTCGATGTCTTACCATGGCGACCACCTGGTAATTATTCCGGCGTTCACGTCACGGATAATTCAATCCATGGTGGTTTTGCCACAGGGTACGGTAATGCAACACTCGGAACGAACAACGCTTCATCCGTCATCAAGATAGGTATCGCAGTAGGACCTAGAACATGGTTTGATGATCAATTCGGGAATAACGTTTCCACCGGAGGGGTTATTGAGAATAACGTATTACAAGGTGCTTTTTCATTTGGTATAGTAAGTTTAAATTCTTCCAACTCCACATTATTTCTATTCTCATCATATTTGATCAGAGTGAAGACTTCAAGATTTATCAGACTACGTAGGAGGAAGAACCTAATTGATAATCAGGCCGTATCATCTGCGAAAAGCTTTACACTACAAAATAATACATTCATCAATAATATCTCGTTCGTCGGATCATACGGTGTTAACTGCACAACAGGTGCATCAACTCCTCATCCTCCCACTGCTCTTTTGTTCGATCCGTCCAATACGGAGAACATCACCATAATCCCTGGATCATCTACTACATCAGGGGATAATCTTGATTTCGTCAATGGGAAAGCGGAAGGTTTAACATGTTTCGTTCATCCTCCAACTGATGAGTTTGCTTGGCCTTATGGAGATGGGGGTGTTAATGCTGGAGCGACGGAAACTACTGGAGGTGGATCGACAGGGTCTACGAGTGGGAAGGGTACGGGTCCATCAAGTACGGGATCGAATTCCGGATCGACTTCAATCGAATCAAATATCGTTAGCACTTGTTTGGTGGGTATGACTGCGATGGGTATGATGTGGTTCGGGATGATCTGATCTTGGGAGTTGAGTAAAGGATTTGAATTTTCTCGATAGATCTCGATGGACGAATAAAAGATATCTTTCGAATGACGGGAAGGACAATATCAACAAATATCCTTCTATCTATATAACATCACGACGATATGGACAATTCCAACAAAGGTTCACACATCGAAGGGTGATAGCATACAGTAGGTGTATGCATAAACAATCATTCCATTCCTCACTTCTCATCTGGTCGGTTCCCACATCGGAAAAACGGGAGTATGACAGAAGGACGAGTCATGAAACCTTTCGATCACGTCCAAGGTACCAGATATGTTCTGTCTTCCGAATTTGGTGTAGGCCTACAGGTATATCATAAGTTGTTAGTACCTTCTCGATTCTTTCCCTTGGTACATATAATACTCCATTTCACCCCACACTCTTCTCGATTTCCTTTGATATACGGTATCATCTCACCATGTTCTCATGTTGATTTCAAATGACATTCTATCCCCACTCCACTTTCTTCTCACATATTCTCCACCATAAGGAATATAATCTCACTCCATTTCGTTGACACTTTCTCTTCTTAGTGACAATATCATTTCACTCCACTTTGTTCACACTTACTTTTGTTTATAACATATCAATTCGCTCCACTTTGTTCCCACGCTCCTTTCATACCAAAAAAACAACAACATTTATTCTCCAACTTTGTTCTCACTTTCCTCTCATGTAACACTGCTTTCGTCTCATTTTACACTGCTTTCCTCTCATGTAACACTGCTTTCCTCCCATGTAACACTCCATTTCACAATCTTCTCGATCTTACTCTCATGACGTAAAAATCCTTATCGGGCAGTTGATCGCTGCGGATCACGAATTCGATGGTCGGGCAGAAGATCAGAGGATCATCGCTTCTATCTGATCAAAATTCATACATATAAAACTGTGATTTTTACTCATTCTCGTTCCGATTTTTGACCAGTATACTCATATATTTATCTCATTTCATACTTTATTCACCTCCTACTGTAGCTCTCATCCACCACAGATCACAAGAAACCTCTTGAAGATCTCTTAGAAGTCATGTCCGGCACCTCCACCAGTCCGACCGACCATGCCGATACGAATCCCCTTTCAGGTCATTTTGCTGAGCAAATCAGTGGAGGGACGAGTGGCCCTACCTCTATCGAGGCCGAAGGTAAGTTAGTGATATTCCAACGAGAGATTTCTGATGCTGGGGCAGTTCCGAGTGATGCTGCGGCGATTGGTGAGACGACCGAGGAATCGGGGACCGGATCGAATTTTTAGCTGATGAAGGTAGATCGGAACACTTTGATCAGACTTGTTTATGAGGAACTCAAGGCGATTAATGAGGTCAAAACAACCCCCTCTGCCGTCAAGTTGATAGATCCGGAGAAAGAGTTCACGTGCTCCAGAGGCCTTTGGACCAAACTCTGGGTCAAAATCCAGGAACTTTCTGCGACCATGCACAAAGTGCAAGTAAGTACACCTGGCATGTGTCACGGCCGTCGAACAACTATTTCTTAATAGACCGACGGTCGACGAACCTCGGCTAACTTCACGCTCTGAGTCGATGTCTCACCCAACCAGGAGGGCGCAGACGTCGAAAGGGGTGTAACTACGGCGTACTTCGGCGTAGTTACTCTAACTAGGGTTTTGTTCTACTGATGGCGATGTATCTTGATTTATAGCTATCTCTATCTGTCTTTCACTACTGACAACAATCAAGGATCGCTGAAGAACTTCAGCGATCTTCTCAGCTAATATTATCTACTCCTCCTAGACGTTCATCCAACCCTCTCGCGCTTTGACGTACTTCAACGCACTTCGTCCAACTTCCCCGAGCCCTCGGCCATCCTCTTCCTCCTTCGACTAACTCCGCCTAACATCGCCGCACTTCTGCTCCCATTGTCCCTACTTAGCCTAACTCCGTCTAACTTCGCCGTACTTCTGCTCCCATTGTCCCTACTTAGACTAACTCCGCCTAACATCGCCGCACTTCTGCTCCCATTGTCCCTACCTAGCCTAACTCCGTCTAACTTCGCCGTACTTCTGCTCCCATTGTCCCTACCTAGCCTAACTCCGTCTAACTTCGCCGTACTTGGTCTCAGAAGTCCTGAGTTACGTGTAGAGTAAAGAGGTTAAGGCGTGATGGGGGTTTTGATGGTCAAAGGAGGGTCATTGTTGGTGGAATAATCGAGGTGTCACGACGTAGTTCGTGACAGCATGGAGCAACCTGAGATTCTACCAGAAGATGAAGGTTCAAATCTTATGACAGCAGATGCAGATTCAGTTACTGATCATACAGTCCAAGAGACTCTTATCAGAGAGGTTTACAAGAACGTGAATGCCCTTGAAACACTGAGGACTATCCCTCTTTGTGGTGTATCTCCAGATCTGACAAAAGCCGTTTTGTTACCAAGAGATAAATGGACTTCATTCATGGAAACGACTGCAAAACTTTATCAGACCTTGCCGGTTGAACCTGGTTCAGGGTTGGGATCAGGAATGACTCTTTCTCCGAATGAGGGCAGGAGACGACAGAACTGACATGACAATCGATTGACAAACTATCGCCAGGAGGTCAATGAGTGGGAACACTCTGAAGGATTGAATGAAAGATGATGATGAGAATTGAGAGATGAGCGATGATGCATGATGCGATGATGCGACGATGATAAAACCTTGGACCATGGACCACTTACTCCACCTTTCCGGTGCGAAATCCTTTGTTCTTCCTCCCACATGATCAGACTAAAAAGCACAAGAGCACCAAGAAAATTCATCGTTCACAATGCGTCACCTCGTCTCGTCTTCATGTCCCCTGTTCTAACCTTTCCCCATGGCCCACTCATTCCAATATCAGTATGAGTATCAGTACAAGTACAAGTACTGCAGATCTATGTGAGTGTTTACAACCTTCTATGTGAAATGTAACATACTCAACAAGCATACATGTCCCTCAGATAATCACGTACACATATACACATATGAATCTAAACTCATCTCTCAACCCACAATCCCAAAAAGATATAGAAAGACAGATCATCGTAAAGATTAAACAGGGGCGAAATTGAGAAGAGCTTGATTTCTAGCAGGATCACCCATCTTGATGATTTTATTCGTAGGGTCACCAAGACTGATACCTGCCATGTCCTATCCCGTCAGTTGGTGCAGACGACCGAGGAAGCAGAAAGTAGCTGACCTGAGGCGTGATGAGTATATATTGCTTTCCGTCTGATTCTTTGGCACCGTCAATCTGACATTAGCTCCGAATCACACGCAGAGTACAACGATTTGCAGCCGCCAAGCACTGATAAATTGACGCTAACAGTTGCTTCAGTCGAGTGAACACGCAATATCATGGCCGCATCAGAGGAATAAGAAGGGATGAGGCAGTGCGGAGAAGGTTGAGGTGGACGGGAAGTGACGGGCAAGTCTTCAAAAAAGGAATAGAGAGAAACCGGTAACCTACCAAATTCTTCGCTGCCGCACCTCGATTGATATGATCCAAGAAAACATCCCACTCATCCAGACATCTCAACGGACTAGCAGCCATTTCCCAGAAAGCTAACAACAACGATACCGTGGTCAAGGAACGTTCACCTCCTGAAAGAGCTTTGGCTTTCTTCCATTGACGTTGTGAAGGTCCAGTTTGACCGGCTTCTTGAGCTCCACTAGAGGCGATCTGATTATCAGGTTGTTTTTCTTCTCGGCCCATTGGCGTCGTTCCCTCTGCGAGTGACACAAGGAATTCTGACTGGTTCATAGGACTACGTATGAGGAGGCATCACAGAGGAAAAGGAGGGGTGAGAAGCAAGGAAGAGGATTGCAGATGAAGAGGGATATGGAATGATTTAACGAGGAGTAGCAGTTAGAGATCAAGAAAGGCCCAGAGGCAGTTACTCACCTCCAAATCAAGCGTCTCCTTGGCATGATCAAAATCTAATCTTCCTTCCAAATCTCTCCTACTGAGATTAAGTAAGAATATACCTTTAGCACGTATAGCCGAATAAGCTCGTATATCATTCCACCACTTTTTCCTATCTTTCAAAGAAGCGTGTAATTCCTACAATATCAATCACCCTTGCCAAAAATCAAGAAAGTCAGAAAGTCAGGACTGACCTTTCTAAGAAGAGTATTATGTTTGATCTGTAACCGTATCTCCGCTAATTTCTTTTCAGAAGCATTGAGAGCAGCCATGATGTTTTCCGTATCTGCCCCATTCCTATACTGTCAAAACGTTTTCAAGACAGTACAGGAGGAGACATACCGTTTCTCAGCTTCTTTGATAGCGGCGCTGATTGCATCCGTCTGCCTCCTTATTTCCGCAGGTGGTTTATCACTGTCCATTCTCGTAGGACAAAATCCAGTCGCTTGGGCTGTCATATTCTACTAATCAGATCGAAGATCAAGAGGAAAGTTGGGAGGATTCACCTCGAGATCATATTGATTCCTCTCAAGTCTTTCTTGAACGACTTTCAACTTTACAGAGTAATCTGTCTCTCTTTTATGTTTGAGAGAGGCAATATGAGCGGCCAACTGGGCTCGTTTTTCTAACATCGTCTGAACCGCGTTCTAGACGTTAGCATGAATGTGATGATATAAGTAATTATGCTGACCTGTCGACGTTGTTGTTCTGGGATAAATTGTTCCAACGCTTCGTCCGCTTGCTCGAATTGTTCTTTCAATTCGGTGAGTTTCTCTTCTAATTGACGTTTCTGACCGAGCATAGCTTCGAGTTGACGTTCCTCAACCTCAATCCTCTGTCGGATTTCCTACGCCTGTCAGACTTATTTGCAGATGAAGGGGGAAGGATGACTGACATCAAGAAGTAATTGATCACCACCGAAATCTGTTGAGGACTTTTCGGCCAATTTATCTTGAGCTTTCTCAATCTCAAGTGCAGAGCTGACCAGACCCTGCCTGGCTTTATCCCACGCACGCTGTTTCATGAACATTACTCAGACTACAGATGTGAGTGACATACCCTTTCATTGGCAATCTCAGATTCGAGATTTCTAACATGATTGGTTAGGTCTCTACGTTTGTCCAAGAGTTTAGTACGATCGTCCGTCAAGACCTGCAATTCTCTTTCACATCGCCTGCATCTCAGCGTTTCTCTTCACCTCCCAAGGAAGATGCGGCTCACGCAATTTCGGAAGCCATATCTCTGGAGAACAAGTCCAAACCGGGCCACTTGCCGAGGGGACCGGAACCGAGCGATGGTCTGATATTGTCAACCCTGTGCCGTCTATCCCGCATACTGTGGACACTCACTGTCCGGAAGTCCTACGACCGGTGCCTCGGAACGAATCAGCAGAGATGACGGTACACGATGGTATAGAATTCAATAGTCGAGGGATGGTGTCTTTGAAATCTTGAACAGATGGTACGACAAAGACTTTCTCGATATTATGTTGAACGATGAGAATGCGTAATACAGCTTCGTTCGTGATCTGGCATCAGTCTCAACTTCTTGTGATTACCATCTAGTATAATCAGCGAGCTCACCGTCAGTTTACTGAGGACTGTGTCGTTGAGACGTCTCAGATCACCTTGAGAGAAGTCGAACATATCTCCCGAATGTTGAATAACAGGAGCTGCACCCCCATAAGGCTTGTACCCTCTACGATTGTCAGTCATATCTGTGACTCTGAAGTCCAACTTACTTGGGTCCACAACGTCGGAGGATCTGGTTCAACGTGTCTTTATCACGAGGATGAGATACGGCGAAACCGCACAACGTAGTTCCCATGATTGAACAGAACGCCCTGCCGTACGCCGGATCGTTCAACTTGACATACTGTCCCAGGGGTCCTACCGGCGGGGAATGTACCCATTTGGCTTTTTTGATCTCGTCCAAAACCATATCGACATGAACCCCATAAGCAGCGAGACTATCGCGGGATTGACTTTGGAGAGATTGTAGGGTTCTCGTCTGTTCATTCCGTACTTTCTCTTTCTCTGTGAATTCGAAATCGAGATCTATAACATCATCTTGAGCAAGCCGAAGGGCAGCGCCCTTGGTCTCGACGTTCTGTCTACGGACTACGTCTTCACGTGAGAGTTTCGATCGTAATGCTTCCAATTTCTCGATACGACTTCGCAACGCAGCGTCCTCTGGGTCGACGCCGTTGGCTTGAGTTTGTCGAGCGTGAATACGAGCTTCGAGGTCTTTCTTCTCTTTGTTAGATTCCGCCAAACTGGCTTCAGTCTCTTTGATCGATTCCTAAGTCCATCAGTATGAGAGATAGTAAGAATTGAGGATACTGACGTCTTCTCCAGCTATATGCCTGCTCGCTTCATTTAGCTTTCTCTGTGCGGTTGCCCGCGCTTCCACGGCACTTTGTCTACCCTTTTCAAAATCTTTTTGAGCAGCAACGAGAGCTTCGACTTGATGGTCTGTTTCTTCATGTTCCGCCTGTTCATTAGAATACCATTGTATATGAATAACGATATCCAGACTGACCGATTTCTCCTCAATCTGTTTTCCCGCTTCGTCGACTCTTTTCTGTGCTGTGACGAGATCATCTTTGGCTTCGGCAAGATGCTTCGTGTCAACACAATTTTGGTCAGGTGGGGAATATCGCTCACCCGCTCCTTCTCAGCTACATACGCCCAAGCCAACTGCCTTTTGAGGGTTGCCTCTTTATCCTTGAGCTCTACGATCTTGCGAGATGCTTGAGCTTTCCTGACCAAGACTTGATGTTTCGCCTCCAGGTCAGGAAGCGCTTCTCGATGTCGGATGATGAGGTTCATAATCCCATTTATGGTTGATTCCAATTGACCATACTGATCAGAGAGCGACTGTAAAGATGTTCCTCTTAGGAAAAACTGACATCACTTGAATTTTCATTGATTAAGCAGGTTTATAACAAACACTTACCTGATACAGACTATGTTCGGTGGCATTTTGTAGAAAACTCCTAGCTTGGTCCTGTGTCAAGATGGTAAGAGGAGAGTCGACGGTGATATTGAAATTGGCAAGTATGGCCGATAACTCATCTCGTCCTTTAGCGATAACTTTGCCATCTTTGGTAGATTTGAATTTGTACTGTCCAGAGCCTCTGACATCGATGGTTCTCTCGATGACGATGGTAGGATTGTAAATTTCAGGTTTATAAGCCTCGATACCTTCGTTGGCCAAGGTGACAGTGATTGTGGCTTTACTAATGTCGTCAGCAACGGCATGTCCATATTTCTCGACAACGCGAACCTCAATTTGTAGCGTGTGAAGGCTGACGTGATGTAAGTTTGACGAGATCAGCCAGATACTCACTCTGCACCTTTTCTTATCAAATCTCTCAATCCTTGACCTCTACCTGTAATGGCGGCTTTTCCACCTAAAGCGACAGCTATAGCAGTCAAGACTGCCGATTTCCCACCTTTCATCAACAACATATCTAATCAATTGAGGAATATATGACTCACTTCCATTATGTCCCACGATGAAATTCATCTTAGGTCCAAGTTTCATGGATAAGTGACGATGACACATAAAGTCGACCACAACGATTTGTTTGATAACCCCCGCTTCGGAAGTTTGCTTTTGTCATCAGCTGATAAGAAAGGGATGAGACGATGATGACTCACTCCGACATATTTCCCTTGTTTTGCACGAACACTTTCGAGAGCATCGATAAGTTCTGTTTCACCATATTCCGGAATGGGTTCATTTTCACTTGCAGAACTACTTGAATCATCGACCAAGTCATCTTCCTCTTCTTCATGGATTGAAGGAGTTTCAGCTGGGGTACGTTGTACGGCTGCACCATCAAGTTTCTCCCTCTTGACTCTTTTGATCTGGAACGTGAGCTTTACCGGGTGAAGAGGTGATATGGGAAAGCTCACGCTAGCTCTTCTGGAGGCATTCTCATCAGCTTCGGAGTCAAGGTCTGATGATAATCTTTTTGACATGGTGCGGGCCATGATGTGACATGAGATAGGAGAGGATGAGTGGAAGAGAGGAAGAGGAGAAAGATGGTGGGTAAGAGTAGGCTAGAGGAGAGGGAAGGAGGGCAGGAGGGTCCAGTGTGCACGTGCCGCCACACGTCGCGTCGCGTCATACATATAATATGAACCTGCTCCTATGTCTGCCCTCAGTTGATAAAGTACTTACCATATTGTACTCGCACTGTAGTATGTAAAAAGCAAACAAGAAAGAGTAAGTCAATGCTGCATAGACCAAGTTACCAATTGGCATAACCCCTACTCAAACTAGTCAAAAGTGGATGAGCCATCCCTTCACTAGGTATCATATGAGCTTGACCTAAATCACCTTTGACAGGGGTGAAGATATAATGCATTCCCATGCCCACCTGTACATCAGCTCGTCATTACCCATCAATCACAGCTGAAAGAAAACTCACAGTGGGATATCCTGTTTCGGAAGTGCTATGAGTGACAGTTTTGCTTCCTGCCGCTTCTCGTACTGCTGCTGAACTGATAGGTTTGTCCGACGAAGAGGAGGATGATTTAGAGCTTGATTCTTTCTCTTTGGATGATGAAGATGAAGAAGAGGAAGGTTTTTCAGAGCTTGACTTGTCTTTTGGAGATGATGAAGATGATGAAGAGGAAGGTTTCCCCCCCGAAGATGAAGGTTTCTCAGAGCTTGATGATTTTTGACCCGAGCTCGAACTCTGTTTTTCCGCTTTAGCCTTTTCTGCTTCTTTCATAGCTTTCATCTTTTCCAATTTCTCTTTCTCCGCTGCTCTTGCGGCGTCATCGGACCCTCCACTAGGTTTGGAAGAAGAGGAAGATGGTTGTGAAGAAGAGGAAGAAGAAGATGATGGTTTAGATGAGGATGATGGTGAAGGTGCGGAGGAAGACGAAGAAGAACTCGATGGAAGGGAAGAAGGATTTGACGTTCGTTGTGCTTCTTGTTGAACAGGATCAGGGACGTTGACTTCTTGAGCTACCATCTGTACACAGAAGAGAACGAGGAGTAGAAATCCGAATTTCTTGTTCACTAGTTCATCAGCATTGTCAGGCAAAGTTGTACTCACAAAAGCTTATTCCTATGATCATTGCTAGATATTTGGTCCTCCATAATTTCTGTTTTTGTCTATATCTGTCAGCTGACCCACGATCCTTACAAGAATGTATCGAAAGCTCACTTATCCTCAATTGCCTTCTTCTTTGCTGCTTCGGCTGCAGCAACAGCCGCAGCTTTCGATCGTCTCTCTTCTTCTTCTTTAACTTTCGCCTTCATAGCCGCTTCTTTCTCTGCTGCAGCAGCTTTGGCTTTAGCTTCCGCTTTTGCTTTTTCCTCTGCTTTCTGTTTATCTTCCAACGTTGGTTTATCCTTTTCTTTTGATTTATCCTTCTCATCTCCTTTCGTTTTATCCTTCTCATCACCTTTAGATTTCTCCTTGTCCGGATCTTTCGATTCTTTCCCTTTATCTTTCTCCCCTTCTTTAGATTTATCCTTCTTATCCTTATCTTCTTCCTGAGCAGGTGCGGCATCTTGAGCTTTAGCCTTTTCTTCTTTCTTCTTTTGCTCTTCAGTCGGACCAGTATCAATTTCAGGTTTATTGAAATGACCCCTTTTCATTAGCTCCATCAACCTCTCTGGTATTCTGAGAGCTTACAAATGTGCTGGCGTACCACTTTCCCACCATAATTCAGTCCCTCTATCCGCTGCTCTACCAAGTGGAAAAGGCCAAGGTAATGCTCTATTGAATTTAGTAGTGAGGAAAGCACTTGGATGAGAACGTAAATCATCCCATGGTGATTCATCTTTCGCAGCTTCTTTTTCTTCTTTTTTCTTTGCTTTTTCTTTTTCTTTAGCTTGAGCTTTGGCTTTGGCTTCAGCTTCTTCTTTCTGTTTCTCACGTTCTTTCTCTTTGTCAGCTTTGGCTTTCGCTTCTTCTTCCGTTTCGTTTGGTGGTTGATTGGCGACGATGTGGTTCCAAACGAATACGAAGCTGTTCATCAGTTCGTCCGTTTATGAACTTATAGTGACGGGGACAAAGATGGGCAGGTTTCATTCCGAGGAAAAGGTGCATCTTCGTCTAAAATATTGATTTCAAGTCTGAGGATTGTCAGGATCGCAGGCCGGGACCTTGCTAGAGGGGAAATGCATGTGAAAGTGGTGGACGGGAGAGAATAGAATAGGAAAAGACCTACAGGAAGAAAGCCACAGCCAAATGAACGTAGGTGACATGTAATCGTGGAACACCAGGTATCAATCCCAACATCGTCCCGGCTACTCGTGAGCTCTTTTCGAAACTCTCGTGAGAACTTACCAAGAGTAAGGAGAATGATAGTGAACCCCCATTGGATTACCATGGGTGCTATGTTTCTGCAATTGTCAATGTATGTCTCGTATCGGGATCGCAATTGTCCCCTGCCATCGGTCCCCTGCCATCGGTCCCCTGCCATCGGTCCCCTTGAGTGTGGTGCATGGAGCTGTCCTGAGAGATATCGGCTATCCGACAAAAAGAAGAGGGGTAGTCTTGATCCCGTGCCCAAATCATAGGCAAGGAAGCCTTCTTGGAGGGGAGGAGAGTAGGTATGAGGATACGAGGAAACGTATCGCCAATATCCACATGCACCTTGTCAGACAACGGACTAGAGATGACGAAAAAAGAGATGGGGAGTGGAGAAAGAATACAACCCACCCAATCTTATTACCATCCGTCACCATACTCGGTGCGAAATTAGCCAACATAAACCCCACCATACCAATGATCAATACCACATAAACCGGCGAGACAGTAGGGAGGAGATCTAATGTCGACGGTGGAGGATAAGGTGAAGGAGGAGGGGGATACCACATTTTGTCGGTGTGATATGTGGGTAGGATGTCAAGAAGTCGATGGAGGATTATTTCAGGGTGCGTTGTTGCGATAAGTGGTTAGTGAATACAAATCTAAATCGACTCGTAGGATACAGGATACCTTGTGTGATTCCACGATCTTGGGCAGGAGGGTTGTCGCCAAGTGATGATATCAGGATGGTGGGATTTCAACACAAGTCGTCAGTGAGTGATATCAGAGATGAAGTATGAGTGAGTCAATGTGTAAAGACAGATTGGAAGGAATAAGTCAGTCCTATCAACAGCTTTGTTCAGAAGGAGAGTGGATCTAATAGATAAACGAGTACGATATAGGTGTGGTTGTGTTCTAAAAGAAGGGTAAATGATGTTGCTATCCGATGGGGAAAAGTCAGGGATGATGGGAGTGGAAGTCGAAGGAAAATAATGGCACGATGTGAGTAAAAAGACAAAGAGCGACTTGAGAGGGACGATGATGATGAATGTGGATCAGGAGAAGTAGGAAAGGGGGAAACGATGATGTGAGGCGAAGTGAGTAAAGATGGGGTTGTCACATTTCAAAACAGTCAAGATGAAAGGATGTCATATCCTTTCCTTTCCTTTCCTGCTTACTGCGTTTCAGCTCGTTTGGTCATTCCTGGTTTTCCGTAATAATACCAAAAGACGATTACAAGGATAGCCGAGGTCAATGATCATCTAAGTAAATGATTGTTACAAGCACGGGCGATATGTATATAGATGAGTGACTTAAATCGGGTTGAGTGAGATAAGCCAACAAACAACGGGCAGAATAAAAGGGGGAAGAGTAAAAGACATGAACAATGAGAAACATGACTGAGAGACATAAATGACACACTTACAGAGTTGAGTTATTTCATGCAATATGCCAAAATGTCAAGATGTCTTACAATGAGAGAGGAAGTCTAAAAAAAAGAAACTATACTTTATTTCGATTTGACATTTATCTTCATTCCGTCCAAACCCTTTCTGGTTGATTTCCAACAGGTAACATTTCTTCTAATCTCGTAGATACCTCTGTACCCCTGAATACCTCGTGTAAGACTTGTCGAACATCATCTACGAAAACAAATTCGATACCGCTTTTGACGGAAGAAGGAACGTTTTCGTCGATATCGCTTTTACACGCCGCGGGTACGATTAGTTCTGACTGGTCAGCTCTTGCCTGCGAATCAACGAAAAGAGCTCACTCTTGATTCCTGCACGATGTGCGGCGAGACTGTCTGTCAGCGAGGGTCAGAAGGGTGAAAGGAGACAACACGGGCGGATGACAATCGGCAGGCGAGGAAGTACCAAGGGAAGAACAGGTGAGTAGGTAGTGGTAAAAAGAGCTGATGAGGCCAAGGACAGCTAGGAGAAGAGGGAATGATCAAACCTTAGGATAGATGAGATACAAGAGAGCTAAAGAAGTATACGACGTATGGGCGGAAAGGGAGAGTGATGAAAAGGAAAAAAAAGGGGAATAACTCACATCTTTTCTTTCAGCCCACCAACAGGAAGGACTTGACCAACAAGAGATATTTCACCAGTCATAGCTACATCCGGATCGACTTTGGTTTTAGTGAACAATGATACGAAAGCTGTCAGAATGGCAGTTCCGGCCGAAGGACCTTCTTTTCCTATTGCACCTTCGGGCCTGAACGTCAGTGGTCATTCTGGACGAGCACATCGTTGTTCTTGATTCACGACATGGCACAGATGACGATAATTGGGTTGACAGGAGATGGGCTCGTCTTGGTTTAGATGAGAACAGCAGCCGTGGAGAGGGTATGGTCTCATCAAAGTTCAAATGAAAACAGTCTTGGAAGGAAGAAACAATCTTATCATGGTTCAAATGAGAACAGTTTAGATTCCAAAGAAAATGATGATCAAGAAAGGAGTTGTGCATAGAGTGGATAGGTAAATTGAGAAGGACAAGAAGGAGAAGAAGAAGGAGGAGGAGGAGGAGGAGGAGGAGGAGGAGGAGGAGGAGGAGGAGGAGGAGGAGGAGGAGGAGGAGGAGGAGGAGGAGGAGATAAACCCACATGTGCAAATGTAAATCCCTATCATTCAAAATCACCTCCGCTTCACTCTTCGTAACACCTAACAAAAAAGCGTTCGACTTGACCCAACTCAAAGCGATCTGAGCGGATTCTCTAATAACTTCACCCAATTTACCTGTCAATTGAAGATTACCCTTCCCAGGCATTGACTATAAGTTAAGTCAGCTTTATCAACCTCGAATATAAAAGCTCACGGTGACTTCAATAGGCATAACAGCTCCAGAACCATTACCTAGATATCCAAGACCTGTAGAGACGCCAGCTGGGGGTGGGGAGGTGTACAGTCTATCTCGATGATATATAGGTCTGAAATTGACGTTAGCTTCTCACAATTTGAAGTATTATGAGATGTAAAACATACGGTCCTACGTAATCTCTCAAGTTTTCAGCAGTTACATTAACGTGGATACCTTCTGGTACTGCGAGAGGTTTCCGAGGAGTGGTGGTTACTTTGATTTCTGGGGCTGGAGTAGTAGTGTCGCTTGGCATTTGTTCTGATAATGGTTTGATGTCGGGTTGTTGGGTATCAACTGTGCTGACTTCAGAATCGGCGAGGGAAAGTGGAGTTGGTTCCGGCAGGGCGGATTCGCCTAGGTCAGAAACAATTTTGAATGCTGCTTTGCGGTAAATCTGAGGTGTCAGCTGTGAAACCGTTGTGCTCGATTGGAGAGTAAATGGGACTGCACGGGCGGCAATCGGTGCAGGTAGAGGAGCAACAGACTAGGGCGGGTTCAACTGAGAAATGCGAAGGTGGTCCTCTTGACAGCCAGAGTCAGTGGGTGAAGGGACACTGTAGATGGCCAGTGATGGGACAATGGGCAAGGACGAAGGATGTCGGGAAGGAAATTCCCACCTTTTCAATATGTTTCTTCAAATTTCTTACCCCACTCTCACGGCAATAATATCTGATCAACGCCTCGATAGCCTCTGGTTCTAAAGAAATATCCACGTCTTTCAATCCTGAAGCTTCTTTCGCCTGTGGGGAGAGGTATCTCTCTGCGATGTTCATCTTCTCCGCACTTACATATCCGCTCACTTCGAGGACTTCCATACGATCGAGTAGAGGGGCGGGAATGGTGTCGAGGACGTTGGCCGTGCAGACGAATAAAACGCGAGACAGATCGACGGGGACGTCCATACTGAGGGTTAGTGAATCCGTACCATATTGAACGAGCCCCGGAACAAGAAAAGGAGAGCTGAAAGAATCTCGACAGTCAGAGAGTCGGGAAATACGGCACAGGATAGGAATGAAAAGGAGGACATACTAATGATCGAGGAATGAAGTATTTTGTTCCGGATCTAACATCTCCAATAAGGCGCTGGAAGGATCACCATTATGTGCTCTACCAATTTTGTCCACTTCGTCGATTAAAATCAACGGGTTTTCCGTTGCTACTTTCTTCAGCGCTTGGATCGGTTTACCTGGCATTGCGCTGAGAAGTTAGCACAAAGCATACATATCACGACAGTGACGGCTGCCAACCATTGTGAGAAAGAGTGACACGAAGGAGGGAAAGAACGTGAGCGGAGAGTGGGAAGGACGATCAGTGAGACCCGGGAGATCGAGACGAGGAGTGTTCGGGCATTTGCAATATTAAGGAATAGTAGCATGAAGAGGATTGGGGAGAGGGAGGAGTGTGGAACATAAGGTAAGAGTGACGAAAATTACATACCCAACATAAGTCCTCCTATGTCCTTTAATCTCAGCCACATCAGTCAAACCTCCAACTGAAAACCTATAAAATTGTCTTCCTAATGCTCTAGCAATACTTTTGCCTATACTAGTTTTCCCAACTCCAGGAGGACCGACCAAACATATTATTTTACCTTGCACCGTACCTCTTAACTTCCCGACCGCTAGGAATTCAAGTATACGATCTTTAACATCTTTCAATCCGTAATGATCTTCATCTAAGACTTTTATAGCGTGAGGGATATCGTAATTTTCTGGAGAGTGGACACCCCATGGGACTTGAGTGAGCCAATCTAGGTAATTTCTGGTGACGCTGGAAGTTAGAATTCGGTCATTTGGAATGAGAAGTAATAGAAGAAGTATTGAGGGCAGAGAGAGGGAAAGTAGAGGAAAAGTAGAGGGAAGAGAGAGGGAAGAGAAGGAGGAAGAAAAAAAAAAAGACCAGACTCACTTAAATTCACTAGCAGCAGGTTCCAAATGCATCAACTTATTAATTTCCTCTTCGAAAACTTTTTTAACACCTTCAGGCATTGCTAAAACATTTGCTTTTTCTTTAAACCTTTCAACTAATTTATCTTTCCCATCACTCTCCATACCTAATTCTTTCTTTATACCTTTCAATTGTTCCATTAAATAATATTCTCTTTGTCTCTTTTGGATTTTACTTTCGACATCTTTTGATATTTTATTTTGTAATTGAGCATTTATCAATTCTTTCTTTAAGATTAATAAAGCTTTTTGAAGTCTATCTTCTACAGAAGTGGATTCCAAAACTGCTTGTAAATCATGTATTTCACCTGTGGATACTGCGGCGGCGAAATCTGCTAATTTATCAGGTTCATCGAAAACGTTTGCGGTCGAATTTGACATTGTGAAAGAAGTTATTTGTTCTCTGAAAATAGGTTGAAGTTGAGCTATATCTTTGAAAACTGAAATGAGTTCAGACATTATAGCTCTGACCATTTGAGAGTCTTTGTGATATGGTTCGACTGTGAAATTTGTAACGTTTGTTAGTGAGATTTGAGGGAGGAGAGGGTGTAGGAAACCGATTTGCGAGAGGGGAGGGGAGGGGTTGTCTTGAGTTGAAGTTAGAGGTTCTGTTGGTCAGCTTATTAAGCTTGTCATGAGAATTCACCAGGGAGATACTCCGGTCAGCCGACTAGAAGGAATGAGACAAGAATATAAGATGGGCAGATGGAAAAAACATCAGAAAATATGGAAGTAGAAGTGTCAGGCTACACGAAAATGACTCAAACAGAGAGAGGAAGTCAAGATGAAGATGATTATAGCTCCAATGGTCCCCAAGGGATACCGTAAATTGAGACGAGGTTTGAGATGAAGACGAAAGAGATATAACTCACCTTCAACTTGATCATCACGATCTCTAGGTGGTGTTCCTAACTCTTCCCTTACTTCTTCAACAGTAGGAATCTCCTTTTCAAAACTAGTTACATCATCTTCCGAATCTTTTCTCCTTTCCAAAACGTTTCCCAACAAGCCTTTCCTCTCCATTTCCTCATTCTCCTCATTCTCCTCATTCCTCACCTCCTTCTCATCTACCACCTCCCCTTCATCTAATCCTTCTAGACCAGCATCATTGACAGAAACGATTTCACCAATCGGTGGTGAAACACTCTTTACCAATCCCTCCAATCTTATCCTTCTATGAGGATATAAAACAGCAGTCAAAGTTTCTTTCTTTTCACCTTCTTCACCTTCTTTCTCTTTTCCTTGTTCACTTCCGAACACACTTGTGATCTGTGCGAAAACACCTACAGGATGTACATCATCAACAGAAGTGATAACGTCCGAATCGGTATTTGAATCTTTGAGTAAAAAAGCACCTATATAAGGTTGACCATGAGCTAATAATTCTCTGATGGCTTTGATGACGGGCGGAGAAGTTATAGTTACCGCTTTGTAGAATCCTGGGAAAAGAGGTCTCCGGGTTATGGGAAGTGCGAGTAATTGAGGGTATATTTCAGGTATGGAAGGTTTCGTTATTTCTTTAGTTGATGATGAGTTTGCCGGAGGGTTATCAGATGAGGAAGATGAAGAAGAGTCGGATGATGAAGTGGAGGGAGAAGAGGAAGAGGAGGAGGAAGGGGATGAGGAAGAAGAGGAAGAACGTTTAGATTCTGTGGCTGTTTCATCGATTTCTTCTTGTTCTTCAGTTTTTGACCTTGTTTTAGGATCTTCACCATCACTAGCTGGGTTTATCCATCTTTTGTCTCGTAGAGTTTTTGAAGAAGAATGTAATGATCGTAACTGTCGGTTCATATCGAATTTTGGAGAAGAATGTAATGATCTAATCTGTCGGTTCACATCGGATTTTGAAGAAGAATGTAATAATCTTGTTTGTCGATTCACATCGAATCGAAGAGATCCATCGTACCCATCCCGTCGAGGAAGACTAGCGGTATGTCTGTCCTGAAGTAAAAACCCAGAAGTGGGTATTTGTATTCGATTATGTCCAGCTACGAAATCCGCTCGAGAGAAGGCAGATGTATGTTCGTCCAGAGGAAGAAGTCCAGGGGTATGTCTATCCAAGAGAGGAAAACCAGAAATATGGGTTCGATTTCGAGAAAGACCAGTTTGAACCCCTGATCGAGGAGAAGCAAAACTATCCAGATTCCGGAAATCGAACCATGATCCTCCCACTGAATACGAACCCGTTGATATGGATGATCGATTCGTACGGCCGGGGGAAGTAATCGAATGAGAGTTAGAAAAAGTAGAGGAATGAGAGTTAGAAGAGGTAGAGGAATGAGAGTTAGAAGAAGGGAACCCAATCGGCGGGATGAGAGAGTGAACTTTAGGTGAGAGAGTTCTGATAGTTGGTCGGAATGGACGTTTGGTATGACGTATCTGGATCATTCTGAATATTTTGACTTTAACTATTGACTAAAAAAAAGAGTGGGAGATGGGAGAAAATGGATGGAGGTGTAAAGTGGACAACATGTACTTGCTTGGTCAAGAGGAGTGGTGGTGAATCGCTGATGCAGCGGCGACCCTCGGTCTCGGGAAATCAGGAAAATGCCACTTGAGCGGTAATACGGCGATATGGGAGAGGGGTGGAGGGGGGTGACTCACCTGTGCGTACGATACATAGCATCTACTTTGGCATACTCGGGCTGCTGTGCAACGATATTGTGAGGCATCCTGCTAGGATACACAAGCACATAGATACAGTAGGGAAATAGGAACTAGAATGGGTAGTGTCATAGTGATTTAAGTGAGCAGAGCGAGATGTTTCATTGCTCGATGCTTGAGGCAAGACAGTCAAGGTGTCAAGAGGAAGAAATGAAAGAGATTAAATTGCTAGTGATACCTCGCATGACGATTCGCAACACAAGTAATCCTACATGGCACCAGTGCATAGGCTAAAGTGGGAAGTTTTACTAGATGTAAAGTAATAATCTGCTCGGCAGTGTGTCGAAATCTTTCTCCATCCACATTCTCTTTCATCTTTCCATCCTCCAACATTTCCTTTCCACAAGTTACTCGTTTTTCTTCCATAAACATACTCTTCCTCGTCATTCACACTCATCCCCATTTGTTCTTCTCAATCATTTAAGTTCAAAATACCTTCACATCATCCAACCATCGTATCTTCTCTCGGATATACAATCATCGTTTGTCAATTGTCCATGGTGATACACATACCTAAGCCTGTCCATATGTCTCAAAGTGAGATCCACCCCACTTAATCAGACCTTCGACGTAAAGAAAGCCTATCTTTCATAGCCCTAGCCCTACGTTCCCTTTCTTCCCTTTCCTCTTCCGCCTCCTTCTCACCATCAAACACTACTACCTCTTCATCCTCACTCTCCTCGTCTGACTCCCTCTCCACGCCATCTTCGATGATGATAGTTTTCGCCGGTGTGCACGTGATACGTGGGATACTCAACGTGGGACTGGCGGTGGAAGATGATCTGAACGATTTGGTCGAGCCTGTCGGAGAGACGGGTGATCCAAGAGATGGAGAACTGACATTTCTAGGTGGAGGAGTGGAAACTGTCAGATTGGCTGGGAAACGCATTTCCGTCGGGGACATGTTCAGAGCTGCTCGTGTGGGAGAAGGATGGGCGAATTTATTGGTGAATAACGTCAAAGGAGGTGGACGGTTCTCCGTAGAAGGTGGAGTGACCGTCAGAGTTGGTTTCGGACTGGTCCTACCTTGAATGGATAAAGGAGGACGGACATTTGCCAGTCTACTGAATGTTCGATCCCTCAAAAATGGTGCGAGACGAGGTTCCTTAGATGGACTAGGAGGAGTGGAAGGTCTTGAATCCGAACTGACGATGGAAATGGAAAGCATTGGGTTGCGCTTTTCTTCCACTGGTGTTTGAAGGATTTCAAGACTTTCGTCCGAGTCTGATCGGACTGCGAAACCCCTAGGTTTGGGAACATTGCCCGGTTGACTATTGCGTCGGAGAGATTCTTCCGATACCCTGGCATGGATCTGAGCGAGGGAAGGAAGTCTACGTCCCGTTCCAGGAAGAGGTACCTTGGGTGTGACAACTTGAGCCTGAGCTCGGAGACGTTCAGATGGCGAGGAAGGTTCAGTGATGATTGTAGCGGAAGGAAGACCGATGTCTGATTTGGTCCTACTATGTTTCACCGAAGTCGCATTACGTTGAGCCTCTGCTGAAAACTCCCGGGCGGAAAGACGTGGGATGAACACGGGTGGGGGACGTGATTGGTCCAAACGGGCAAAAGTGGATTTGATGGGGGAGGGTTCCGCTGAACGTGTTTGTGACGTGTATGATTTGATAGGGTTGAGGGAAAGTTGAGCAAAGGGTTGTTCTGTTGAGATGGAAGCGGCAAGTGGGGAGTTAGGAGGAAGGACAAAGGTGTAATCTGAAGGCGGTTGCTCCGTTTGGGTTTTAAGAGGTGAAACTGAAAAAGATCAGTGAAACGTTCTTTCAAATGATGGGAAAAAAAAACATGAAAGTGTTGGGGAAAGGGGACTCACTTTTATCATGACGTTCTCTAGCTCTTTCAGCTACGTTCCAAAGCTTCATCTTAGAGTTCTTCGCATTCTGCTGGGGTTGCATTGACCACTGAACATGATTCTGATTCTGATGATGGGAAACACGCGTGGTGTTGAACGAGGGAGAATTAGGATCAGATTGTAAAGCGGCTTCGGCGACGGAGAATGCAAGGAGACGAAGAGGTGTAGGATCTGGTGAAGCGGGTATACCGGTCATACCCATTGGGGAAGGGATAAAGAGAGATTGAGCCATATTGTTTTGACTGGGTGGTTTTAAAAGTTCACTGCTGAGTCGTCTGACGGGTGAGGGCGTATCGATGGTTGAACGAGACCAGCTCGAGTAGAGAAACCTGTTCGACAGGCTCTACTTGGTTTCGTCGGAAGAGAAAGATTGAAGAGAGAAAGAAACAAGGGAGATTTAGCTGGAGTGAAGGAAAAGGGTGAAAGAGGTTGGGTAAGAGATCCTTTGATTGAAGGAGAGTAAAGGAGTGTTGAAAAGTAAAGTGTGGAATCGCTGTAAGGATCAGTTGGAGTGTCAAAGTTTAGAGAGATTACGACATCGACTCTATCGATGGTTGGGAATCGGATTATTATGAAAGGTTGTAAGAAGAAGTCAAGAAGCGTTTTGAATTAAAGAGAAAGAGAGGGGTGGGGTGATGGGGGGTTATAGGAAAGAAGAGAGAGAAGAAGAAGAGAGGATGGGGATACGGCGAGTGATAGTAGACTAGAGTTGAAATGGAAAACAGAGTTGATAGTAGTGTGAAACGTATGTAGCAAAGGAAGCAAGGAAGGAGACGCTTGGACCGCGTTCAAGTAGTTTATGTATGATGCGCGATACGCACGAGCCACCGTGACAGCGGGCGTGACAAGCGTGACACAAGACAGAAGACGCGTGACTCACTTTGAAAGAGAGATGACAATCTACCAGAGACGTCTTGTACTTACTTATTGTTGATTCTTGAGTGTTGTGACTTGATACTTGAGTCTTCGTGAGGGGTCGAAGATGGACAATTGTCGAATTATACAAAACGATAGATATCAAGGAAGAACAAAGATGTAAGGATACAATTGATCAAGAACAATGACTAAAAGTGAAAGAAATACGAAATTGAAGGAAAATGACAAAAGACGAAAAAGAAGAATCGTTGGGTCGAAAGATTAATCTTCAAGCTCGTAGATCTTTGTACAGAAGTGAAAAAAAGATGTATCGCGTCGATGTTAGTGTCAATTGAAATTCGCTATCGAATACGGAAGTATCAGAACGAAAGACCAGCCGATAATGGAACAACCGTGAAAATATCGTCTTTACGTCGAATACGTTCTATGAAAGCGATGCGCTATGAGTTGATCGTGAAGAAAACGGACAAGGAAGAAAAAGGGATGAATGAATGTTGATTTGACGAGACAGAGTTGTAAAAGTGTATTATTCGTCCTACCCGAGGATCCGAGTAGAAGAAAAGGGAGGGAATAGGTGGGGATACTTATATATTTGTGGTAAAGAAGGATCTTGATATGAGAGAAACAAGTCTAACAACTGAACGCTCGTGAAAGGAAAATGTTATGGTATCGTTCCTGCACACTTGTCACACCCCTTACACCCTATTGTCATGCAACAAGAGAAAAAGTTCATAACATCAGGTATCAGGGTCTAATTTCAGAACTGTGCCAAGAATATGAACACGGACACGGGTAGTACGAATGTTTCACTCCACAAAAAGGCACGCACAGAGACGCGTCTCTTTTCTTTCATTTTCCCTTTTACCCCAAGTACTCTACTCAAGTTGTATGTTTGTACCAGCACAGCACAATTGAAGGACGAGACGCGTCTTGAAATGGTGCCGTAAGTGGTTAGTCGGTCACTTGATCACTTGCAACTTGACTTGCTCCGGACGTCCACTCCGGGCACCACCCTAGTCTCGTCCGGGCACCACCTGCCACACTCAGGGTATTCAGGCACGTACCATCGGAATTTCAGTAACGCCGACCACGCGACGGACATGAACTCGCCACTGATCGGGGTTTCAATAACGCCGACCTCCACCACAACGACGCGACATGTCTGCTCGCTACCTACCAACCTGTCCTCACCACCACTAATCTCTTTATCGTCATTTTACTGGTAAACTCACGCTCTTTTTCACACACACTGTCTCTACTCGTCTCAAGGATCATTTTGATACTCTTCTCACTCTTTTACGACTACTTTTCACCCACTTCTGGCCCTTCGCCTTCTCAACCTGCGCCCTCCTGACTACCACCCATCAAATTGCTATAACTTCTTACCGAGCAATCGTTGTATTCTCTCGTATTCTCGACGCTGTTCTACTGCTCTCTGCGAGTCTATGAGTACTCTTCTCATCCAAAAATGTAAAAATCTGACTTTTACAGGATCTCGTCATCATCATCACCCTCGCCACCCAACTTCTCTCGGTGAAAGACTTTTTTTGCTCTTCAAAAACACCTCTTCAGCCTTGGTCAATAACTCGACACTGTTCTCCTGTTGTTCCTGAGCTGTGAGTACTTGTTTTATCATCAGAAGTGAAATGCTGACTTCAATAGGCCTCCTCAACATCAAAATCCTCGCCACCACACCAAACTGCTCGAACAAACTTTTTTCCCGCGATAACACATATGCAGCGACACTGATCCCTGGTTCTTCCTGAGCTGTGAGTAGTTGTTTTACCATCAGAAGTGAAATGCTGACTTCAATAGGCCTACTGAACATTAAAATCCTCGCCACCGAACTCCTCTCGAAAAATTCTTTTTCCTGCGATAACACATATTCAGCCTCTATCGATAACTCGACGCTCTTCTCCTGGCCTCTGCGAGTCTGTGAGTACTCTTCTCATCGAAAAATGTAAAAATCTGACTTTTACAGGATCTCGTCATCATCATCATTTTCGCCACCGACATCCTGGCAAAAGAAAATTTAATTCTTCAACAACACCACCCCCGGCGTCGTAATTTGTCGACATGTATTCTGCTGGTCTCGGGCTACGAGTGAGTACCATTTTTACTGCATGAAGTAGTCATTCTGATGAGTTAGATGTCATCACCGATTCTTATCCAATCATCACCACCCTCATCACCAATTCTGGATCGTTTTTCACGGTCCCCTTCTATTAAATTCAGTCCTCATCACTCTCGGTCTCCTTCTATCATACCAGAGACTCAGCAACCTCGTGACCACGACTACGATGATGATGAACTCGATAACCTGCTAGCAAATTTAGAGCTCGATGTTCGCGAACCAATTGGCTTCGATCGTGTGGCTCACCACATCCACCCCCCCTTCGATCTTGAACCTCAACCAACCATGTCAGCAGCTCGACTTCATACCCAACAGGCTGCCATGACCCATACCGTGTGCATTGTCACCTTGCGAAGCAATGAACCTAAAGGCAAGCTCGAACTACAATGTGCTCATGGCGGGGATGGTCGGTCACATCGTTCTGATGACTTTGAAGATGTTAGAAAACGACCTCGTACTACCAAGCAAAACAACTGTCCCTTTTCTATCATATGGCGACGAGAGACGAAGAAGATTGCTCAAGAGGCCAACCGTGAACCCCTCTGGATCCCCTACATCATCGAAAATTCTCACACCCATGAACCTATCCCTCTCCTTCATTACTCTTTTATTCGACAGGCTAGCCGTTCTCCTGAGGTACTTCAGTTCATTAAAACCCTCCTCAACAGTCCTCACACTCTTCGTGGTATCGTTGCTGCCGTCCACCAACATTTCGGTGATAAAGTGTCTCTGACATCTCAAGATATTCAAAATATTCGAACTCGTCATGAGAAATTACTTCGACAAGGGCTTTCAGCAACTGAAGCAGCTGTTCGACGGCTCACCGATAACAACGACCTTTTTAAAGTGTTCACCAACAGTAAAAAAGAACTTTGTGGCCTCGTCTTTACCACTCCGTCAGCCAGAGCCATGACTCATTCGTATCCCACCGTTCTTTTTATGGATTGTACTTATCGAACAAACCGTTATCGTCTACCAATGCTACACATCTCCGGTTTTACTGCTACCAATCAAACCTACACCTCTGCATTCGCATTTTTAAGTCGAGAAGTGACCGAATGGTATTCCCTCGCGATCAAAAGTTACCTCGAACTCATGGGCCCAATCAACAATGATATCAAAGTTATCGTGTGTGATCGCGAGATCGCTTTACATAATGCTCTGTATTTCCACCTCCCTCATGTCCAATTGAACTTTTGCCGCTGGCACCTTCGAGAAAACATCAAGGTGAACTGTCGTAAAAATTTTCAGTCCCTTTATAAAGAGGAATGGGTGGAGAAGTTATCTGAGTTTGGTGATCACTTCATGGTGGATATCTGTAAAGCAAAGTCTGAAGAGTCATTAGATAAAGCTCTGTCTTCAATGCAGACTCGGTGGGGACATGAACAGTTGGATGGTGCGAGGGCTTATGTGAGACAATTGGTGGATGATCATAAGACACACTTCGTCTCTGCTTTCATCGATAAACACACTCATCTTGGTCAAACATCAAACTCTCGACTCGAAGGAAACCATAACGCATTCAAGACACGCCTCAAGAATTCGTATAGCGACTTTTATGGGTTGCTCCGAATTGCTCAGCAGTTTTTCGACGACCAATGTGATACCATAATGAACAAAATGGCTCATGACAGGCTCGTTCAGGACCCCAACCTCGTCTCTATCTTCATCAATGTCAAGAATCGAGTGTCAAACCGGTCACTATTCCTCATGAACAAGCAGTACGATAAAGCAACCTCTGGCAAAATCGATAATGATGACGAGAGCAACATGTATTCGACATCAGTGGGCCTCCCTTCTGCTCGGCACATAAAAGAAGTACTTGAAAATGATGGTACCATTGCTCTCTCTCCTCTCCATCGTCATTGGCGTCTTCTCAACCCCTACACCTGGCCAGACACGATCAAACAGGCCACTGCGAAAGTCAGTGGAGATATTAGTGGGGTTCATCCACTGCTAGGGCCTGAGTGGGATGTGGATAACGATACGAATCGAATTCGAGACCCCCACCTGCGAAGAAACAAGCTTGCTTTATCCAGGAAGAACAATCAGAATCCCCCTGTCCCCTCTATCACTCAGATCGACTTAACGAAGGATAATGACGATGATGACGACCTGTTACCTGTCGAAAACCCCTTCTTTTCACCTCCTTCTCCTACTCTTCCTCCTTCGCCTAAAAGAGGCGTAAAATCGAACCCCTCACAAATGTCTAATGATGTCTCTCACACCGGCCGTCTCCACACTCAGTCAGAGAAATTCATTGGTATCAAGAAAAAGGCGAATCGTCCCTGTCCCCTGTGTGGTTCAAGAAGTCATGGTCCTAAGAAGTGTAAAAGGGCTAATGAACATCGAGAGAGGGATCCTGAGGCCTATGATCGCGAGGTAAAGGCGTATGATGCTGGAGAAACGACCTGGACAGAGGGATCGGTAATGGGGACTAATGCTGCTCTTGAGAAGAAGATCTCGAGTCTTCAGGAGATGGTTTCCGGCCTGGCTAAGAGTATTGAGGACAGAGATAAAAGGGAGAAGGAAAATCGGCCTGTAGTAGTGAGGACAGAGGACAGGATGGCGAGGACAGGAGAAATGATCACTAGGACAGGTTATTCGGTGGGTTTCTCATATGATAATGACATTTCTCCTTCCCTCCTTCTCCCCCTCTCTGTCCTGCAGTCATTCCTGGCTATATTGCTCTGTCTCTGACTATATTGCTCTGTCTCTCTCTATAATGGCCTCACGATCTCGAAAATTTTCACTCTTCTCTTAGTCTCTTACTTCTAAAAGTTTCCTGCAAGCTGATTGGTCCAGGAGACACCAGGAAACGGCCAATATCCACCGAATGTGAGTCTCTAATACTGCATTTTCGGCTGTATCCGATGGGGGGTCTCTAATGAACAGGTACCCCCATTTTTCGACATTTATCCTCCTGAGGAGAGGTACCTACCACCCCCCCCTCTTCCACCTACTCTCCCTCCTCTATCCTCTCAATATTGGCCTCCCTATCCCTCCCAGGGCTCTTCTAGACATCCCTATGGCTCATATTATCCTCCTGGACATTGATAGATAGGAGAATGCATGGACAATGACCGGAAATGACATGGTATAGCTAATATTGACATTGACGATGTAAGAGAAGAGTGAGCAGAGCTCGCGGCGTTATTGAAACCCCGATCAGTGGCGAGTTCATGTCCGTCGCGTGGTCGGCGTTACTGAAATTCCGATGGTACGTGCCTGAATACCCTGAGTGTGGCAGGTGGTGCCCGGACGAGACTAGGGTGGTGCCCGGAGTGGACGTCTTGCTCCGACATCCCCTTGCCTTCACTCGTTCTACGGATCTACGGATCTACTGATTGCACTCGACATGTCTTGCTTACATACTACCATTTCCCACTCGGTTTGTACGCTGAGCGCACAGGACGAACTTCCTCAATGCGCTGTGAAACGTGAACATATCTACTCGCATTAGTGCAGATTGAGCC